TTATTTGCTGTAACACTAAATAGTATGAAATTAAATTATTTTGTGTATTATTACGTATTATACGTAAGTATACTCTCCCATGTACAATACCATTTACTCTGATGTAAAACAAAAATATTTTACAATATGTATTTTGGCTGATGCTAGTAGAAAAAAACCAGTGAAATATTATAGTGAGAAATCGGTTAAAGAGGAAAAATTCTTCATTGAACAAAAACTAAATGTCCGCGCTAAGGATGTTGTAAAAGGAGAAATCCATTACGCCATTCTTAAATTACATTACCAGAGTTAAAAGACTAAAATTATAGTACCTACTTGACAATAATTTGAAAGCCATTTCATAATAGGTACCTAGATACTTATACGTTTTAATATTAATATGTACAATGTACCTATCCGCCAATCTAGTGTCTATTCTTTATAATAAAAATGAAAATTTAATAATGGAAAAATTAAAACCATTTAGGTATAACCAGGTAGGGTCAGTTATTTCTGTTTTAAATGGTAACGTAAAAATATTATGAACAGTATTTTTGACTATAATTTTTTTTTTTAATTCAAAATATTTGATTTTTGGTTATCTTTCCTTTACCTAGCAAGTTCTTTCTAAAGTAATTTTTTTTCCATTATATACATACTCGGGACATGTACTTTTGGATTTTTTTTACAGTTTTACCGAATATTTTTTGGTGATTAAATTTTTTTTGCTAGATTCCATGCAATTATTAATTTAAATTTTAGTACAAGGTTATTCATATAATATTAATTGGGTAAAACATATTCGATTAAATACAAAAAGATCTTTATGTATGTTTATAATAATCTAAGCATACCTTTTTAATGGTTTATAGGTATGTACTTTTTAATTTTCTATATTATTTTATCTAAATAATTACTGGGGCCTAAAATATCGGTATTTCCGAGATATATAGTAGGTATGTGCACTTTTTTTTTATCTCTGTACCTATACCTACTGCCAAGAATGATTAGTTCAAGTTTATCTAATTTTAACAGCAATACTATTTTAATGCAATATACAAATTACACTATAATAGGATTAATGAATATATTTTAGTCTAGCAAGTTATTTTTTTCACATTTAATCCTAAGAAATGTCGGTGACCTAAAAAGTATCAAACATGAAATGCTTTAATGACCTTACTACTATAAAAACTTACTAACGAATTCTTTAATGGCCTATAAACAAAACATATATTGTTTATTAGATAGGTATTAAAACCAAACAAATTTGATTTTCGCAAAAAGTGTTTTGTCGGTCTGTCGGTGTCTGTCGGAATCAATTTATTAATTAAAATACTTATCTATATTCTACACATTTTTATATGTATCTATGCAATACAATTAACAAAAAAACTAATTAAATTGTACTTATATATTAGGCTGATCCAAAATAACTTCATTACAAAATTCAAAATATGCGATCCTTTCCTTAAGGGATAGGAAAAAACAATGTGAACATTTTGACTCGAAACTTACCCGTTTTTTGAGTCAAAAACGAACTAAAATACAAAAATCCGACTGATCGAAACAAAAATTGTAATCAAATTAATATCGATTTAAAACAGTGTAGCTGAATGCGAATCTTTCATGACATTGACATTTTTTCCTTGTCCTCCCTTTTCTAGCTTGAAACTGATATTGTATCGGACCTATAAGACACAATTTCTAAGTATCATATTCGATAAAAATAAGCTTTTTTAGCAGGACAAATTACGTGTACCTGTACGCTATAAATATAATATAATTTGTGAAAAACGATGAACAATTTATGTAAATTACAAAAAACCTAACGTATAATATAACAAAATGGTGTTACAAAACAAAAAAAACTGTCCTAGGATAATGGGGATGGTTGTAGGTGGGAAGTTTGGAAGGTAGAATGTAGACGGGAATTGAATGTATATCTGTAAGCAATAATAAACCATTGCTAACAAAAAACGATTCTGAGCAGAGTTTGGTTGATAGTGTTGCATTGTCAACAATATATATCATATTATGATAAAATAATTAAATAGGCGTTATATATTTTCTTTAATAATATTTGTGTAATATTGTACAGATTTTTCTATTTTTCTTATGTTTTTTCTCGGTTTTCCTATGTTATTTTCGGGTTTTCTCATTTATTGGGAAAACTCCTAGGAAAATCAAAAAATTACTTTTATAAAGTACCTCTCCAGTCAGATTTTTTTTAGAAAAAGTATTATCATTGTACATCAGAGCAAAATTTCTGGTAGAAAAGTTGATCACAGAAAAATTAACTAAAATAAACTTCATTGTAAAACCAATACTCAGAATCTAAAACACATGTATAGTTGTAATAAAAAAAAATTGATATACTTATTGTAAATCTGTGCAGCATGAAATACATTTTTTACAAAGATAGTTTATATGGTGTATGTATTTAAAAAAAATAATACAAACGTTATCAACATCATATCTCTAGTAATCATAATTTTTGTCTCGTATAGCATCAAGGTTTCATCACATTTCTGGATTTTATTCTTAAAATAAAAATTTTACATTCTTAGTCGTATTTTATACACTTAAATACTACAGCGCCTATAGAAGTTATACGTAAGTTAAACAATCCATAATAAAAACGTATATTATTCGACGTATTCTTAGAAACCTATATAATTTTTTACTCCTGATATTTAAGTTCAATGGTGATATTTAATTTCGATATCGATGCGTCGTAATATAAATACGCATTAATATTCATACATAACACATCAAAATATGTTAATAAGTTTGTTTACATGGGAACCGCTTACTCAGATGTGTTCATAAATTCAAAAAAACCGTTATCTCCTGCAATACTCGGAAGTGAGAGGTCTTAAATATTTTATTACACATGTCATCAAGCTTTTGTTAATTCTTTACGTTTGAATGACAATTTAGATGGGATTTCTTCAAAATACGAAATTATAATTGTTCGGCGTACCGGGTTTTTAAGGTAATAAATATATTTATCATCTGTGTATTAACTACTTATTATTTTGTTATTTTAATCATATACGAGTAAATACCCCGTTATCGACTATATTTCCTTGGTTTATTTTTATTTTTCATGATTTAAGTACAAACATTTTTTTTTCTTTAGCTATATCACGATATTTTAAATAATTCTTCTTTGATATATCGATATATATATATATATATATCGACATATCGAATACATTAAAAAAAAAGACGAACATACTTCTCATGATGAGTGTAGCCACTGTTTTTGGTGAGAAGTTGAAAAGGTATATAGAAGGATATAGAGGGGAAATTAATTTATACCTTTAAGCAACGATAAACCTTTGCTTACTAAAACGATTCAGAGTGGACTTCAGTGGATAGTGATGCTTTACCAACAATATGTATGTCATATTATGGTAAAATAATAAAATAGGCGTTATATATTTTTTTTAATAGTATTTGTGTAATATTGTACCGATTTTCCTGTTTTTTCTACGTTTTTATTGGTTTTCCCATTTTTTTTTCTCGATTTTTCTTATTTGCTAGGAAAACTTTTAGGAAAATCGAAAAATTACCTTCTTAAAGTACCACTCTAAGAAAATTTCCTTCTAGAAAAAGGTTTACATTGTATACATCGGAGTTAGCTTTCTGGTAGAAAAATTGTTCACATGAAAAAAAAAAATTAAAACGGGAAGTCCTGATGAGTGGATGATCATATAAACAATGAAATTTCAAATTGAAATTCCCACCACGACATATTTTCTTGACTATGCCATTGCCTACAATACAATATCATGATTATACTTCAAAGTTTTGGACTATAATACGTATTCCATATAAAGATATTTTTAAAATTTGAGTGGTTCAAGTAAAGTCCCAATAATTAACAATAAAATATTATATAATGCTACTAATATAACGAATTATTATGAATAATATACAGTAGGTAATAGAGGTCTCGATTTAAAACTTAAATTAATACGCACGTAAACACGACCGAATTCATGTACACGTGAAGGAAAAATTCGTATTTATGTATAACTAATCCACGTGAATTTAATAACCGTGTTTACTGTTCACGCGTTTTAGCGTTATTCACGTATTTACAGATATTAAGCGATCGTTATATACCTAGGATACTGAATTGTAAATATAAATAGGGGATGACCGACCTTTACGTACTGCCAATGTCGAGTCGACAAACTGATTATTATTATCTACTATTATTTTATGTTAGAAAGTCGGTATACTTGTTTATACTAAAATACTTGAATAATTACGTGTACACGTGAAATAGTGAGCTCTACTAGGTACTCAAAGTTTTATTTTTCGTTTACACCGATAATAGAATTGCACAAATCGATTTTACTACAAAGCATTATAGCGTACAACGCGATTTAACTGGGCCACAAAAATTATTACATCCCGGATGTCAATAAAATATGTCAGCATAACAAAAATTGGGATTGTAAAATATTGTTTTTTTACTAAAACCCAAAACGCAATTAGTTACGTCCCTATACATATAAAACTAGGTTTATTTAAAAACCGCCGTGCATTATATTGTACTGTCAATATGCTCAGAAGCCAATATACCTATCTAGCGTAAACTGACACATATTTTAAGTTGTCAGGTCTGAGAATCGTTTAGATAGTGACTGGAAAATATACTGACGTGTACGGAATAGATACAACATAACAGTATATATTATTTTCTTTGTACAAATCTGGTACAATAAATTGTAGTAAAATATGATGAAATCGAATGTTTTAAATACTAAACGATTCGTGTGCGCCCTACAATTTTTAAATACGCAAACAAATTTATATAATGTTCCCTGTGCAACAAGACGTCCACAATGTTTTCACCTGAAAAACAAACAACTCCCGAACCTGCAATAGTTATCGAGATCTGTCAATATGATAAAAAATAATAATAATAATAATAATATTAACTTGGCCCCTCCATACACATAACGTGAATTCGCCATTGGCTGTTTACGTCAATGTATTTTAAATGGTGTTGTTCTCCACTGCGTAGGTATAAAAAAACGTACCACGGACGGACACATATTATTTTAATCGGCTCATTCCGACGCGCTGTTCAAACAGATACTTACAGATATTTATATAGGTGTATGCATTTATAGCGAATCAAACGGCATCCAAAATAATATAAAGGCGCGTCGTACGGAATAGAAGAATCGATTCAGGTAATTTATTTCACTTTGTAGATTCCGAGTGGAGAACAATATTTAATGTTTTATGTAAACATTTTTTTTTTTTTTTGAAAATTTTATAACGTTGATACTAACATAAAAAATACGAACGTTAAAAACCGTCACTCATTTTCAAGTATGTATCTAAAATTATTACATTTTCTAAATTGGTGATTTAGTTAAAAACGCATGTTTCTTAGTTATATATTATATACTATAACGGTTAGTTAAGTGCCTGATGCATACATATTACATAGCTACGGAGGTTCTACTATAGTTATTGCCAATAGTTAAAAATATACATTAAAATTATCCAAAATCGACATGTAGCTCAGGGGTTGTGTTCAGTAAAATGTAATATGTTCAGTTCTAAATTAAATATTGTGATGGTCTTAAAACATATGCATATTGTACGAATATTATTCACATCAATATCTAATTAAAAGAATTAAGACAAAAGTATTTGTATAGGTGCCTAACGTGTTACTTGAAACTTCAAATTAAAATGGTCGATTTAAAAATAGCGATAGCGATGAAGAATCCTTACAAAAAAGAAAAAACAACACTTTGATCTTTATTTATTTATCAATAATTATTGCATTATTTTCATTGATAAAATAATTTTATAAGTTTATAGTTTTAATATAATTTACTCTAATTGAATTGGATAAACAAGTACCTGATATATGTTCAGTTTATTACAATTAAAAATAAAATAAAAAATTGCTACACTTTAGCTGTTGTAATATAAGATAATTAAAAGTGTAACATGTGGTAGCGAAGAAATTGTTGGGAAATTTTTTTCACGGGTGAAATATAAATAAGATATGAAGTTCTATAACATTTTATGAGGTTAATAAAAAGATGTATTCAATTAGAAGTATTTTTTGAATACAACGATTTATCATTTTGGCATTTTGCTATCAAATTAAAAATATAAGTGCGATACTCTAACTTGAACAAAATTGTCTAGAACACTAAGATAAAATCTGTGTAAATTACCTATAATCAGCTGTAACTGCCCATTTTATTATACTTAAATAAAAAATAACTGCTTTTTTAAAAAAAATAATAATGCAAATTACATAATAAGGTAACTTAGATAACTAAGTTAGATTATTTTTCGTTGGTAATACTAAAACTGGTTTACAAATAATGAAGTTTATGGGTAAATTTGAAATAATTGTAGAAATAGAGAAGTCAAATAAATAATCAAATAAATTCTTTAGAATCTTGAAAAATATACAAAAACTGATCCACTTCGATTCGTTCTCCGGTAACGTTTATAAACAAAACGAAAATACACTGAGTTTAGTAAACCCTTAATATAATTTTTAAATTCGACCACACGTGGGTTGCATTTTCAGAATATTATTTATTTTTTTTAATAACATGGTGTTAAAATTACTGGAATATTGCCACATTTTTATGCTAAATAATATAAAATATACTGTGTACATATTATCATACTATGTGATTCAAATAATTATTTACCTATATTATATTATATTTTAAAAAAAAATAGCATATTAATGTAAACGACACTGTTATAAATATTATATTTAAATTTTCTATAGACTCGAATAGAAATATATAAATTATAACTGTATTTCGAAATTTCAAGAATAATTAGACATAGAGTATAATAATATTATCATATAATATGATCATTTGGATCGGTTGCATTTCCATTTTCATAAAAATAAACAATCATAGAAAAACTAAAAGATATTCCATAGATTTAGAACCTATCGATAGAAATCAAATATCAGCATGTAAAATAACATTAAATTTTAATTTTAATTTCAAAACGGTTTACATTTGATGATTTTAATCGGTGTATATTACAGTTTATCTTGTGTTTATATTGAGGTATTCTTTTGTGAAACGCCGTGGCATATTATACATTATAACTGACACACTAGGTATTTGCCTATACTTACGCCTTATTAGTATTTGTAAATTGATTTTTTAAATAATTTTGTTCCATCAAATGCCATACAATTCTCTTTCAATTTCATTTCGATTGACAAATAATAATTGAACAGTAATGAAACAATATGTTAACTATCATTATTATGTATATATATATGTATGCATTTAACATATAATTTTCATAAAATATCTAATCTATAGGAATTTGTTTGATTTTTTAAATATTTTTAGAAAAACTGATGTAATTTTTGTGTAGAGGGCTTTAGGAGCATTCTCTACCTAATATTATTATTCAGCTCTTGAAAATCAAATAACTTTTGTATGGGAGGGTACCTATCTAAAATGTACATTTTCTATGCTGGTTAAAATTTTCTTCTTGAATGCGTTCATATAAGTGTTTAATGTATTTCAGGTTTTTATTGAAAGTATAATTTGAAACACCAACTGAAGGTAAATAAATTGTAAGTTACATAATTATAGAATATACAGGTACAAGATGTTGGGTCAGTGAGAACTGTTCACTTTGGTTTGTTAAAAAACTAAATATTATGTATTCAACCAGTAATAGCAAATAGATAAATTAAATTGAATTTTAATTTTTCAGTTTAAACATGAAAAAAGAAATATGTTTTATTTGCATGACACTCGTGTTCAAAGTGATAACTGCCCAGTCCAATATTGGTGAGTTATTTTATATTGGTTGAAATATCAAGTATAACATACATTCGTATTCAAAATTACTTTTTAACATCATTTTTTAAACAAATTAAAATTAAATTAATTTAACTGCAAGCGCTTAATAAATACATAATCTAAGTAAGAATACAAATAAATTGATATATACGTTTATTAACAAATATATGTGTTTATTTATTTAATTTATTCTGAAAGTTAATGCCCAGTATTACCTTTTAATTAATATTATAAATGTATACTACAACTTCAGTTGTAACAAGTTCGTAGGTTAGGTAGATAAGTATAAAACATGAAAATTTACAATATAATAGTTAACAAAATTAGTAGTGTGCGTGTACCTCTAATCTATATTTTATATTGATATATTAAAACTATTGTAATTTAAATTTGGATATTTGCAGTGCTAACCTCGTTCGAAGACCCTTTGTATGCATTCACTGACAATTTATCAGAAGAATTTGAAGAAAATGATTCCCAAATCAGGTTAAATCAATAATTTACATTAATATTCAATAGTTATTAATTTTTTTACAATAAATATTTATAATATTTCGAATTGGAGTTCATTGCTAAGCTACTATACAGTAATGTTGATTATCTCGGATTCTAAAAAAACTGTCCTGCATTTAATACTAGAAATATTCAAACGTTTCCCCTCTTCATTTACCAAACAAAATTATGAACTATCCAGTTCGGAAAGCCATGTATTGGATTATTAGCATTTGTGTAACGATTTTGATGTTTGTTTTGATTTACTAGTTAAGCTTAAAAATTTTATAATTCGATTTTTTAAAATGGTTTTGATTTTTTGTTTCAGTTCACTAGTTAAGTTTTAAAATGTGTAATTTCATTCTGTATTACCTATTCAAATATTTAATCATCTTAAGGTCGTTCACTAATAATAAAATATTTGCTAAAATACATTTCTGTTATATATTATTTAGTTCAAGTGGTACATCTCGCACAAGTCGTCAAATAAAGATTCCGTCTAATTATTATGAAAAATTCGTTAATGATAGTTTACAACTACATAATAAGTACAGATTAAAACACGGTGTCGGTGCGTTGGTTTTAAGTAATAAAGTGAGTGTAATTATTATATTATCGTTGGTGATATTGTACAAAACATTATGTTTATTTTTTGTAATAGTTCAAACTGTAAATAAGTAATAAAGTGAGTAGTAATTATTATATTATCGTCGGTGATATTTTACAAAACATTATGTTTATTTTTTTTAATAGTTCAAACTGTAAATATAATATCATTTATTTTATAAAATAGTATGTATCATTTGATTACAAAGATAATTCTCACACTACTTTGATTTATAGATTATATTATTATATAGGTACATATAATATAATGATAATAATATAATAATATAATATAATGATAGATGATTATGTTCGTAATATTGTATTTGTTTAGTTGTCTAATAACGCGATGAAATGGGCGAAGAAAATGCTCCAAGAAAACAAGATGTATCATCAGTCAAATAGTCTTTTCGGCGAAAACTTGTATACGGCCACGGGTATGCAGGTGACGGCCGAAATGCCATTTTTTGCATGGTACAACGAAGGGAAAAATTACGACTACTCAAAGGAACCGTCAAATCTGAGCGCAGGTATAATCCTATATAAAGCTATTCATTCATTATATTATAAGATAATACGAACAATAATTATTTACATTAAATTTTACTTTTTATTTCAAAACCCATCTATGAGAGTTTCCCGAAAATTGGTATTTAAGGATTTTGAAAAATAAGGAACCCATTGATCCGTGTGGTTTTTTTTTCTCGGAAAAACTCGGTTAAGCGTTTATGGAGTAGAAAAATTACACGTTTTCGTACTAGGGTTGTTATTATTTTGTATTAATGGTATCTTATATCAATGGAACAATTGTTAATACTTTAATAAATCATTTGAATTTTCACCGAAGTAGACACTTTATTATTCACCGTACGGTGGTTCTCACTTCAATTATCTTCATGACTTCATTGATTAAAATATAATTCTCAGTGCTTTTAAGTTTTAATAAATGTTATGTTTGAATAAATTCAATAACACGACCACTCAATAAATTTAAATATTAACTTTTCATAACATCTTTGTACATTTTTTCTTGTTTAACTAATACTGTGCTTTCCGGGGTGGAGGTAATGCATGTCGATTGAGTAAAGTTAGTTGAATATAAGTTAGAAAAATAAGTTGAAATTAGAGATTTTACACAAATAACACAGTTTAAAGAAGAGAATATTTTTGACGGCTATGGGTAGATTTTCTCTAAAAAGTTATAGCTATAGCGGTTTTTTTGAATAATTGTAGCTTATTTTTGTATGCCATTTTTAGAAAAAATCTACGTATACAGCCCTCGAAAATGTTCTCCTCTTTACATTTTGTTTTTTTGTGTTTAAATTCTAATTTCGTTATAAACACCACTGTTTACTATTTACATTCTGCTATGTGGCCCATTAGTTAGACCGAGGCATTATATGCGGGTCTAACGTCTTCTTATTAACTATGGTAAGATACTAGAATTTTAATTTAATGCCCGCTTCGTAGATATATGTAAAAATAAATACTGCTAAGAATAAATAAAAGTACAAAAGCTTCCGTTTTATTAAAAATGACGATATCGTAAAAATCATATTTTATAATATATCGGCGTACTATTGTTTGATTACAGGTCATTTCACTCAGTGCGTATGGAAAAACACAAAATCCATGGGTATAGCGATTGTGAAAAACAAATCCAAAACTTTCGTTGCCGCTGAATATTACCCTCCCGGTAATGTAATAGGTCAATTTAGATCTAACGTTTTAAAACCTCGTTAATAATTGTTTTGCTTTTTTTGCTGTAATTACGTACGATGTAAACTAATGTTATTAATAAATGAAATAAAAATGGCAACCGTATTTATATAGTTAATAAGTAAGTGTAAGTTTAATAACTTGAAAAAACACGAGCTAGCACTAGACATAATATATAGGGAATGTCGATACAAATATAATCTGAACGTGACCCATGTGAATTTTATCGCACTTAAGTCTTATCTCACAAAGTGGTATTTGTGTTTAGAATTTAATTGTCTTTTAATATTGCGGTCTGAAAATTTGTTCAGATCGTCATACCAATGTTGTCTATGATCCTCTTGTTCGTAAACGCGTGATAAAAATTGTATCGTTGTTTGCTGTTTTGTGTAGACCTCAATAAAACTTATGTCGTATTCCGCGTACCTACTCGTTATGAAACCCATCATTATTCATAATCCGCGAAATGGTCCGATTTTTTTTTTTAGAGAAAAAGATTATAGTACCTATTGTCTAGGTCTGGTAACTAATGAATAGCATTGTTTTCTTAATATGTATATTCGAGTGACCACGTTATAATATTGTGAATTTCACTTTTCGTCTAAACATTTATAATCATAACGTGTGGCTGGAAAAAAAGGATGGATTACAAATGTACATTAATATATTTACATATGTAGAACCAGTATATATTATACATTAAATAGGTATATTAAAATAGGGGAGGCAGCTTTAGTTTATTTAACTTGAACCATTGAACTATTGTTTCATTACATTTAAAATAACACGTACAAAGCAATTTTTCAAATTTTTCAATCTCACTCTCTTTATTTCTTATACAATACGTAATGTCTCATTACCATCGCTTAGCTTATGAACTATTACCTTACAATATAAAAATTAAGTTAAATTTAAATTTGTCGGTATTGTGGATTATATTTTATAATATAATCATGCAATATATTATGTAATTATATGAGGTAAAATCGTTTAAAATCAATTTGTATAAATTAATTTTCGGCATAATTTGTCGTATCAAAGTTTTAAAAAAGAGGTGATACTATTGATGAGTGTGCCACTGTTGTAATTGGGAAGCTAAGATTATAGGATAAGTACATTAAATTATTTAATTTACAATCATTGTTGACGAAACACTATTCTGAGCGAAGTTTTGCAATGCGATATTTTATACGATTTCCATCTCTGTGATTGAATTTAAAATGCTTAAAAAACAACTACATATTAAGTATAATTTTGTTGTTTACCACTGTGTATAATTTATCATGAACATCGTGTACAATTTTTGAATATTTCTGATCGGCCAAACAATTTTATCTACAAAAAAAAAAAACAACTGATACTGAGGACGGGTGTGCTACTCTTATAAGTGAAAAGTTTGTAAGGTACATAAGGTTATTGAAATTACATCTGTAAGAAACGATTAACCATTGCTAGTGAAATATGATTCCGAGCTGTGTTTGGTCATAAATATTTATTTTGAAATGCCGTAATTTTAACGATTTTCGTCATAATTTGATCTTTAAACGCCAATAAAGAAATATTACTACATTAACCTCAACTTTTTTTTTTCATAACTAATTATAACTTGTAATGAACTTCTTGTTAAATTGGCAATCATTTCTAGTTAGTCAAACAATTTTATCTATACAGTTTATTTATATAACCTACCTAATAAAAGCAAAATAAAACCCAGTTTGTTTTTCCCAATTTATTTAAAAACTGCTCGGAAAATCAAATGAACAATCAGTGTTTAAATTTCAAATTTTAATGAAAATTTTAAAAATCACAGTATTTCACGTAATATTTTTCCGATTCATGTGGCTAAAACTCTTAAGACTCTTTAAAAATGTTTAGCAATCTAATACGAAAATCATGAATAATAGTATTTGATTTATTTCACAATTATAAATTATTACGATTTTAATTTTAAGTTTATCAAAAAAAAAAAAAAAAACCGGACTTAACTCAATAAATTAAATTAAATTAAGTTCTCTTGTTTATCCAACCTTCCAAATTTCTCACCAATAACAGTGATTTAATTTTCATAAGAAGTATCTTTTACGCTTCACCGTAGCGATAATGTACAAAACACCTGCAATACATCTACTAGCTTTTTAGATTCTGAGAAATGCAGTGATTTTTAGTATGTGTGTTTTTTAATTTTTTATTTGTTCTGTCTGTTAATAATTTTTTTATAATAAATATTTCCAACAAACCAATTAAAACGACAAAGAGCTTTTTATAGTATATTGAATCTAGTTGGTTGATTTTTGATTCATTTTGTAATTTGTGGTGTAGTTTTCATAATAATCTGGAAAAATTTAAAAAAACAATTTAGGAAAAAAGCAGACAAATTTTCGACTGTAAAAGTTCATTATTTTCGATTTTATAGTACTATCATAAGTCTTGTTTATAATTTCAAGAAAATATCGTCAAGTTAGTGCGTATAGTAGTTGTTTGTTTATTTTCTATGTAGTTTTATAAATAATGGGGAAAATGTAGCAATATAATATAATTTAATTTTAGATCATAGTCAATTATAGATTACTTATTTTGTCAAATTTTGTAAATAAATAATATTATCGAAAATAGTAAAATACACAAGTTATAATTGAATTAAAAAAACTTACAGTGATTCCATTAAAATAATTGAAAAAAAAAAAAAAACGCTTTTTACAAGTTTATGGGTTTTCGTCATTGTTTCTGGTTTGTGTTTCGTTAGTTTTTTGTGAATCATTCCACGATTGAATTTCAGCACTTCCAAATAAAATGTAAATTAAGTTTCCTGTGAAGAAGATTCCAGCTGAGATTAAAAACACAACAGCCCATTGATCACTGTTATTCTAGAATGAAAAATAATTTATATGCATTCATATTTTAATTTTATTGAAAATAACGAAACGTACATTGTCTCTTATTATCAATCCAACTATCAATGGTCCCAATATAGTCGTTATATTGGCTAAACTGTTAGTAATACCCATTAATATGCCCGCAAAATTAGGAGCCAAATCCATATGGTTGGCCATAAAACCAGTAATGATACCACCGTTTAGGCTTAGAGCAATAGTCAACAAAATCATTGCTCCTGTTGCCGATGTGTTAAAACATAATGATATCAGTACTAAAGCTCCACTCCAATGAGCTATACTATTCCACATTTTCCTCTGATTCGTGTTTGACATAAAACTGTGACTGTTGATGTAGTCACTGATCCAGGAAAATATAATAATTGAGATCCACGCGACCAAATATGGCATTATGGTTAAAAAACCGGTCTAAATAAGTGTCGATTAATATTAAATTAATAACTTTATAATATGAGCATCATTATTTATTTGTTGTGAATTGTTACCGGTTCAACATTAAAGTTGAGTACATAATTCATATAAATAGGAATGTTCGTTTGTAATATCCAGAAGCCCCAGTTTTGCGCCATATGTACAATAATAAGCGTCCACAAAGGCGTTGACTTTATTATCATTTCCCACGGAATCTTCAAAGGCTGCAAAAAAAAAAAAAAAAAAACATTAAATAGTTAACTACGTTTTTCAAGGTATTATTTATTTACCTTTTTCGATGTTGTATTATTCAACGAGCTAATAATGAATTCCCTTTCTGCCTCACTTATACTTTCGTGTTCTCTTGGGCTGTTGGCTCCAATTAAAGACCATATAAGTGCCCAAACTAGTGCTAAAACGCCGCCTACATAAAATATAGCCGGCCACCCTCCTGCGCTACCTGCCAAATGTCCTGCCATGGGAAACATAGTCAACGCACCGAATATTTGGCCGCTAAACACAAATGAAATCAAACGGCTTTTTTCAGATTTCGGTACCCATTTCGAAAGTAAAACGTTTATCGCAGGATATATAAAACCCTAAAAAAAACGTTTTTGGTATTTTAATATTGTATCGTAACATTATTTGTCATTATTATTATTATTATAATTATTATTAAATAATAAAATTCACGAAATAAAAAAATAATTCAAATTTAACATCTAGATAAATTTGACAAATTTATTGAGCAGTTTTTGTGTACATTGTGCGTACCTCAATGTAAAAGCTATATGGTAATAAAAAAGTATGGAAATATAGTCTACCTATATTCCTACCTAGGAATTAGTATTGATTAGTATTGATTCTATAAAATAAAAATACCTAAAATAATATTATACGGCTTATGTGAACACTTCATGCTTTTTTTAAGCGATTTTATTGAATTAAATTGGAAAAATGATTTATGTATGCAATAATTGCTTGTAGTAAAATTTCAATCATGGCTGAATTAAAAAAATTGAAATTGCATAGCTTTCTATTATATCGTATAAGTCCATTAGAGAAATTTTAATTGATAAATACTTAAATTATGAGCATTTAATTAAATGATAATCCGGATTTCTAATCAATTTCTAAGTAAAAAATCATTTTTTAAAGTTTTTAAATTGGGGAAAAACTGTAAGGAATAATGTTAAAACGTATTTTTCGTAGTGATTTCATTTTTTTTCTACATTATATATTCAACAAATATAATGACCTTCAAATTTACAATACCTTATTATTCTAAACTAATCTTACTTGTGCCATTCCTTGGCTCATACGATTGGCGCACATTACTGGTACATCACCGTGTATTGCCGACCACGGAGTGATTATTGTTAAAACACCACTTATTCCTACAGCGCCGGCTAAAAAGTATTTGCCTCCATATATATGTGCCATTTGTCCAGCGTATACTTGAGTGATTAAGTAGCCCCAATAGAACGAACTCAGAACTGTGCTTTTTTCCGATTCGTTCCAGGACAACTCCTGAAAATTCGATAGATCACTTCGTGTTATAACCGTGCGTTACTCGAGATTTTTGATTAGCACATTACTTATAATTAAATAGACGTCACGATATGTCACTTACAACAAAACGTTCGTTGGCACTCGAGTTATCGGTCATGGCTACAATTCCGACCGTCAGATTGACCTGCAACGCGTATGAGATGGCTGTACATAAGAAAAGAAGCAATGTCTGTTTATGCCGTTCACCCCGTGGAAATTTTCCTAAAAAATGTTTTAATGTGTAGTAGTAGTAGCTTAACATTTCAATAAACTTTGCATTTCATGAAACTGTAATAAAAACAATACGCGTTTTTTTAGAAACTAAAATTAGTTTGAACTGATATGTTTCTTGGGTGTCTGAGTGTCAACTAGTTTGACGCATTTATCATATTTTCTCATTAGTGTCCAAATTATACCAACTTATGTTCAAACTAGGTGTTTTGTTTTCTTGTACGGAAATTACGATCCACATTATTCCTAAATGAATTGTATAAGTAGTATACATAGTAGGTACGCATAATTATCGTTACAATTTTGTTTCTTTTTATGAATTCTTTAAATCTGTATCCGATAATTAAAATGTCATATTCTTTAGCTTATTAACGGTAAAAATACCTATTTAATTTCAATAATGAAGAAATACTTAACATCGAAGATCTAATTTGAAACCGATTTTGATTTCATAATATTTTTTTAGCATCAAGTAATATCTTATTTATTTTATTTTCTCATGTATCTGACGTATACAGGGTGATTAATTCTCGATAAGACACGGATATCTCGGAAAGTGTCAACTTACTTTTTTCAGCATTATATTTTAGATTCCAAGTGTAGCAAAGAATGTATTAGTTTTACTAAGATGTTTATTTTTTTTTTATATATATACTGTGTACTAATGTGTACTAAGTATATACTGTGCATAATATATATATATATATATATATATATATTGATGACAAAGCATCACTATCAACTGAACTGCGCTCAGGATCGTTTTTTCGTTAACAATAGTTTATCGTTGCTTAAAGATATACATTAAGTTACCTATAACAGTGGCTGCACCCGTCTCCATTATCCTAAGACGTTTTAAATTTAATTTATATCTAAATAACTACAGATTTTATTGTTGTTTATAAATGTATAATTATTATACTTAGTCAAAATGTACAAATACTTTACAGTAATGTACATTTCCACGGCTCCCCAATTGTAAAATATGACATTTTTCTTGGCCCAATCGTTAGTATTGCATAGTAGAATATAAATTATCGTTAGTATATAACAGGGTTTTTTTTTCACTGAAGGGAATGGAGAAATGATCGAAATTACCAATTTTAACAATTTCTCCATTTTTTTTTTTATCCAATCGTTAATTAATGCCATTAGATAGTGGAACAAAAGTACCTAACCTAATCTATCACGTATACTGTATGAGTAGTGATATTTAAGTAGATATATTTGTATATATTTTTCATAATTAATCGAATAAAATTTACATTATATCAATTATTTTTTAAATATTGACAATTATTTGTAAATAAACCAGTAAGGAAGGGATAAGCATAAGTGTGCGCATGGAAGATGCAGGAGAGGCAGCAGCCTACCCTGCGAGATTTTCAACCAAAATATTTAAGACATCAATTTTTTTTTTAAATATTATACTCTAAGTTACTCTTAATTTTGTGTATTGGCTCAAAAGGGAAGAGGCTTTGGAGGATTTAGACGCCCTCTCCGAGTACTCAACCAAGCCTCCTAATATAAATTCTTCATCGAGTAAATACTAAGTATACAAAATCAATATTATTGGAGCTTAACACATAAGCGACCTTCCAAAATATTAACATTATTTTTGCTAAAAAATTGTATGTAAGGTTTGATTTTCAAAATCATTGTCTTCCCTGCCAAGAAAACCTGCGCGCGCTTATGGGAATAAGTACTAGAAAGCAGAAACAGTTTTTTATTAATACATTTAAGTAAATACATTTATTTTACGAAATTAATACAAATAATGAAAATTATATTTTGTTTGTTATTATTTAAACTCCTTCCTTATTATACTAAGTTCAAATTCTGGAACTTCATATATATAATGATAAGTATATTTATAGTAATAATTAAGAAAATTACAAAGACAATGGAAATACAGCCTCCCCGATAACGATACAATTGAAAATCGGATCAAGATTTCTGGTAGAAGTGTAATTTATACAGACAGAAAAAAAGACAAGGCTGAATCTGAAATATTATTATACATTATAATAATTTTAAATCATTAAGGAAAAACGTATCTTTAAATGTATACAATCCATTATATGCTTGCCAATGGGCATTCAAATGGCAACAACACGTTATATTCAATATATTATAATAAATATATGCATTATATTATAATGTATATATTATAAGCCAAAGTACCTTCGCACGGTTATTTTGAGCCTGATTTCTTACCTACTATTTAAGTTGGCCATTAAAGTATTAAAATAATTATCAAATTGTACAAAATTGAAAAAATTGTGGTAAACCGGACTTTAAATTATTAACATTAGAATTTTAGAATTGCATATATTGTCCGTAATATGTCTACGTTGATTAGGTTAAATTAATTATTATTTGTTATAATAGTGGTCACCAATAACATTGTCGATATTTTGATACCTATTTTGTTCGGTGGTTTGAAACCACTGATTATAATAGCTACTCTTTAACGTAAATAATAACATATCTAATTATTATTGGTTAAAATATTTGATCAATTAGAAATGAACCGGTTTGACATCGGCAATGTTGTTTCATTGAATGTAAATACATCAACAAGTCGAAATAGGTAGTACGAGTCTTGCTAAAATAAACCGAGAATTACGATTTACGCCTACAGTTTAATAACACCAATACTTATTTTTTTTACACATTTTAATTTTATATTTATAATAAGTGTTTGTAATTATCCTTTTTTTAATTGCAATCATTCAATACATTATTTGAATGTATGTTATTTATCCTTGGGTAATTTACTATAAATATTTTTATCTTTGCCTATATTTTTTTCCTTGATATTATAATTTTCCTCAATCCGTTTGGTACTATGAGAAAAAATAACTAATGAAATTAAATTTGCGTAGTAAAAAAGAACAATGGTCTAGTTATAAAAAAACTGAAAAACGCTACAATTTTTTTTCTCTAAATATTTCATTGCAATATTTCTATTTGAAAATGTCACATAAAATATTTCTCATATTTATAATAAAATATCATGACGATGAAACTATTGATGTTTGAATGAGTGGAAAAGTGCCTATATTGTCTTAATTAGCCGCTGTATAGGTAGCCATCGTACGCATAATTAAAACTTACTAACGCACACGTTTCAAGTCCCAATGAAAGTTGATGTAATAGGAAATAATAAAATATATATATATATATATTGGAACGAAGCAAAGAATGTATTAATTTTACTATAATTCGTGTGTGTGTGTGTGTGTTTTATTTTATTATCATTATCTATTATTGTTTTTGAATCTTATTCAAAACGCTCCACAGTGTAAAAAGTAACACTTTGTAATTGCAAATTATTAAAATGTACGAATTAGAATATGCATTGTTGTGCGAAAACGTACGATAGATAACAAGATGAAAACGGAACCCATACATCATATTTAGACAATTAAATGGTTTTAAAGTCAAACAAATTACACGAATAATATAGACTTTGAACCTAACAAATAATTGTTGAGTAATTATTTTGCAACTGTAAGATTTAAAAAAAAATTATCACGTCCCCCCCCTTAAACAGATTTTCTTGCGGGCCCGCTCAAACGTGAATCGCCATTTGCCATTTTATACATGTCTATCTGTTTTGGTATGCATCGCCACGTTGTAATAAATGTAATAAATACCTGTTAACCTCGCTAAGAAAATCAATAATATTTTAATCTGCTTTGTTTATCACACAGTTTAACCGGAGACGGAAAACGAATTAGACGACTTTAACATATACCTAATAATAATATATTATATTGATACATAAAATCGAACAAAGGAGAAGAATCATTTGAGGTAAGTAATATAAATGTTTATATTTTAATTTTTTTCGGGAATCGGTAATTTATAAAGCACAATAAAACAACTGTGGATAAAAGCGAAATCTAAAAGTACAAGGTTTTATAAAAATCTTGAAAATGTTTGAATAAATCATCTTCAAAGCCATTTATTGCGCGTAATAAATTATCATTGTTTTGAGACTTTGAGATCTAACCTATACAGGGTGTCCCCCCATCTAAAAACAAATTAAATACTTAACCGTTCAATAATTTTAAGTTTTTTTTTTATTTTTCATTATTAATTACTAGCCTTGCGCTGTATTTTATATATTTTTAAAAACTAAAAACGATTTAACATAATCCTAGATAGCCATTTTATAAACATATTTTGAAACAAAAGTTTAACGCATAAATATTTACTAATTAATGAACTGTTCAGTTTTTACATTTTTTTGAAGTTTACAAACATCATTAGCAGAACAACTCTTCCCAGAAATATTGGTGAATCAAATGTTATTATTTTTAGTGGCGACTGAAACAATTTAAATTATCATAAACTTCAAACAATTTTAGAAAACTAACGGTTCGTTATTAGTATTTATTTGTAATACCAAAATGCTGTTTCAAAATAAATGTGTACACATATTGAAAATATTGAAATATTAAATTTAAATATTTATAAATGTTCACATAATTTAGCAAGTAAAAAATTTGCTAGCAAACAAAAAAGGGAATTTAAATTAGGTACTTTTGATAGCAATATTTCAATCTCCAATTATTTTTAAATATTATCAATGATTTTAGCCCCTTAAAAAAATCAAACATCCTCGTATATGTCTCTTTTTAATCATATCATTTAATTATTATAACAGACATTCATATAGGTTCATCATATAGGCAACAAATTTAAAAAAAAACATATGCTTTGTAGTTTTGATGTTTTAATTAATACAGTTTGTAATTAATGTAAGTACAACAAAAAAAGTAACAATCTCAATATTTACAGAAATATTCATATATTTATATATTTGAAAATTACGATTACATAAATATAAAAATCGAATATTTATCGCTCTGTATTTACGAGCAGGAATCACGGGGGAATGACATGAACTTAAGGAGAAATATGTCCTATGGGCGGAATTCATGATTTTAAACCAAATTAGAATTTAATCAGAAACTTTTTAACTAGGTAATTTTAGAATTAAACCCTATTATCAATACTTTTTGGAAAAATTTTAAAATCGTTATGTTAGTTTTCATTCGCGGTATTCACACACATCAAAATATCTAAATAATAATGTTTGGAAGAAAAATAAGCGTACATTTTCAAGTTTCCAATTAATATCGAATTTAAAATTTATTTTAAAGTTGTTTTATAAAATATATATTATATATATAATAATAAATACAGTTATATCACAAAGTTAACAAAACCAAAAATCTTTTATTTTATTCTATATTTACCTATCCTTTTCTTAAGTCTCATCATATGAACTGAGCATTAAATAATGATTGTGATTCCCCATACTAAATTTATACCATTAATCGAAACCTCTATAAAGCGATCAGTTTTCAAATTTATAACATATAATTTACCTACTTATTTTAAATTTAAGATCATCGAATATAGTATGGTAATGTTATAAATACAAAATAATTTAAAATAACTTTAGCTCCGGTGATGTTAAAATCCTGATTTGTTAGACGTTACACATGTTTTCATGTTTTGAAAAATAATCAAAACAAATTATAATATCTACTGTTATTAAATTTTGACAGACCAACTGATTATTTTAACCTGTTATCATAAATTTTAAAAACCACTGCAGATTCATTAGACATTGAGGTGTGCAACATTACCCACGGCGCGGTATTCTCCTGTGTTCTCCTACCTATAATACGATAAATAATTGTTTTTGTGTCCTTCACCGAAGTCATAAAACTGGTTTATATATTAAGTTTCTGACATCTCAACTTTTTTTTTATATAAATAAACTAACAAATTGTTGGAACATTCCAATTTTTTTATAAACGATTCTTACATTTTTTTTTTTTTTTTAACGTTAACACCATCCTTCATATGATAAGTAGGCAACATTCGATTGAATATGATACCTACATTACCTAAATTAAATAACATTTATAGTATTACCAACATGTATATAGAATTATAAGAGGTGTGTTTTAATTTGAAGAGCATCAATTTTTACTTTAAAAATATAACAAATTAAATATTCATTGTATTTTTACAATTTGATTAATAAATAACTTCAAACTTCAATAGATACCATACAACATAAATTAAAAGTAAGATAAGTATAACTGTATAAGGTTTAAGTTATTAATGTTGAATATCTATAGTTTTTCACTAACTTCTAAATTGAATTATTGTAATACAAATATGTTTATTAAGACTTATAATACCATTATTTGGTATATCATAGCATTTTAGGCACTATTGTACAATATACATTTCTAAACTCGCCTCATCACTGCAAAGAGTGGACTGGGGCTGAAAAATAATTTATAAATTCTGGTAAAAATATGTAAGAGTCTATACATACACAATGGCCATAATCAACTTGATATCTCAGTAAAACATCAATGATTATAACAAGAAAATATAAATTAAAGTCAAAACTGTTTATGATTTTATAGCTGTTTTAGTAAGTGGGTTAAGTTTTACAGTTTTTGAATTTGATTTGAAATGGTTTATCTTTTCAGTTTTGATATGGGAAAATCAAAATATTTCATTTTTATGACAGTGATGCTTGGCATGGCAACTGCTCAGTCAAAAAATGGTGAGTTATACACATATATAGTTTACAGTACCCACGTGTGTTATGTATATATGAATACAAGTAGTTCATTCACGTATACTAGCCTCCGTTTTCACGTATTTCATTAATTCACGTTATAATCGAAACTTCTTATGTAAAGGGTTATTCGGATTTCATGTTTCAGTCAAATTTTTCATGAAATACTTATTTTTTCAAAAAATGACTTGTATAAAAACATTTTGAAATTTTATATTCTGCTAAGATGTTATTTTATTTGTAACCCTTATTTTTTGAGTTGAAACGGTTACGTATTTTTAATAAAGGTTCAATTTTAAAATTGAAAGTAGGGTGACCAAAATAAGGACAATGTAACACTTTACAATATATAAGTATAAAAAGTTTTTAAATAAATCATTTATTGAAAAAAATAAGTAATGCATGAAAAATATAACTGTAACGTAAAATTTGAAAGACCTGAACAGTGCACACCCATATTGTTTTAACATATATTTAATATTAAGAACTTTAAGAAAACAACAATTATCAACAAATAAAATTTTTTTTTTTTAACAGATTGTTTTACTCCACACAATGAAAATGGTGTTTGTATAGAGGTTAGATTTTGTAAAAAGATATATTCGTTAATAGAGACAGAAAAACATAACAGTACTGTTTTGGCCTATATTAAGAATTCTTTTTGTGGGTATAGTGCAAATAATCCAAATCCAAAAGTATGCTGTCCTAAAAATACAGTTGATCCATCGTTTTTATCCTCTAAATTACCATCACGAGATGAATGTGGAAAAGTCAAAGTCAGTGCTGGTAAAATTGTTGGAGGAAATGTAGTTGAACTAGGTTAGAATTTATTCGTATATTGGTATAAGTATATGCATGGTGATTACTGAGAAAATAACCCAATTTTCAACACTATTAGTCGAAGAATTTTGTTTAACATAGGCGAAACGTTTAGGTTTCTGGCCATGGATGGTTGCTCTAGGATACCAGAGTTATTACAAAAACACTGGTGTAACACATTGGCTATGCGGTGGTACCTTAATATCAGATAGATACGTATTAACAGCAGCCCACTGCACGGCTGATACAACCTATAGGAAGCTGTGAGTGAACCTTATTAGTGAACTTTTGCAAGTCAAAGGCGTATAAAATATTCTTGTGGTGTAAAATATTAAAATAGTAAGTAATAAAATGTATAACTGCTCAGGGTCACTGCGCGCTTAGGTGATTTAGATTTGAACCCCGATATCCCAGACGACGCAACACCATTAGATGTTCCAGTTGAACGTATTATAACGCACGCAGAATACAACAGTCAGTCATTTACCAACGACATTTCACTAGTGAAACTAAATACAACTGTTACTTTTACGAGTAAGTATTTTCGAACTTTCGAAATCATTCTTTACGTTTTCGTAACACGGTTAAAAGTATCATAATAAGAGTGTAATAATATTACATTTGTATAAATAATTTATAAAAAGGTAAGTCCTAAGGCTAATATATAATCGAGTATAAATATTATGTAGATTACAATTGAAAAACATTTTTCCTTTACAATATTTCTATAATATTTCTGAATTTTTGCGCAGATTTTATTCAACCGATTTGCCTACCGATCTTGCCAGATATGTCATCTACAAAATTGTTAAACACTAAGCCATTTGTTGCTGGTTGGGGTAGGACGACGGCCACGGCGTTTGAAAGTAAATATACATTAGAGACTACTGTTGACATAAAATAAAAAATCACGACTACTTTATTTTCGATTCTCAGCGTGAAGAGTGTTTTTTTATTTGCTTAGAATTTCAATTAACCTACATATACTACATATATATGTCATAGTCATAAATCAAACATTTTACTGAATACCTAGACATTTAACTAAATGTCTATTTCAAGTCAGGTAAATAATACAAATTAAACCGTTTTATACTGTATTAAAAACTAAACTATATTGTATTATTATTTTTATCTATCTCTATTGTATATAAAAAAATAAAATGGTGTACCTATAATTTATTAATATGTAAAACACCTAGGCATATGAAATATTTTTAATTTCGTGTCCTTAGGTACTATTGTTTTGACATTTTAATTATAAATAAATATAAGTAATTACGAATTACGGTTGGTAATTATTGTACGAGTATAAAATATGAATACAAAGTACAACAATGATCGTTACTTTTCAAAAAACTTATAGAAATTATATTTTTATATTTTTGGATTAAATAATTAATAAGAAAATATAGTTTAATTTTTTAAATAATGTAAAAAAGTTTCATTTGTATTATTTGCCTGACTTTAAATAGACGTTTAATTAAACTTCTAGGGCCTAGATTTTTAACTAATTACATAACTAGGTATTTAACCTGAGCGGATAATAAAATCACATACAAATTAAATTCTCTGACTGTTTGCCTAGACATTAAGTAAAATGCCTGATTTAACTATATGCCTACGACATATTATATATATATATATATATATATTAAAGCTATTGTGATTGCTAATAAAAATACCTAATATCGCATTCAATTCTAAAATCAATTTAAGTATTATTTCAATAGAAATATCGTTCTTGTAAATATCAGTATTTATAATAAATTTAAATAACTGTTATTTAATAAAATCGATCAAGTATAGTGACATTTTGTTTTTGTATATTTATCCTAAAAAAAAAAATCTGGCAATCCTTATTAGTTATTAATTATTATTATATCATGTTATAGTTTAGTGAATATGTACCTGCCTAAGGTGTTACTTTATATGCATTATTGTTCAGGTAAGACGTTGAATACTGAATTGATGGAAGTTAGAGTCAACGTAATGAATAACGTTGAATGTAAACAAGCATATACTAGAGAAAAAAGTATGATTGATGACAGAGTGATATGTGCTGGGTATCAGCCAGGAGGAAAAGACTCTTGTAATGTATTGAACTATTCTAATTTCATATAAAAAATATCTTAAATTAATTATTTTCAATTGATTTTAGGGCGATTCTGGAGGTCCTTTAATGTATTCAAAAGAAAAAGAAGATAAGTATAATTTGATCGGCATAGTATCTTATGGGTATAGAAAATGTGGCGAACCAGGTTATCCAGGAGTGTACACTAGAGTGACTTCCTTCATTGATTGGATAGTAGACAAAGTAAATAACAGCTGAATTTTACAATTTGAAACTCTCACAGTTGCACTACGAAATTGCGTAAAGAAAGAAAAGTTAAAAATATATAAGTAAATTAAGAATTATCCTATTTTAATGAAATAACTGATTTTATGCATATTATACTCCATGATTGTTTTTAGTTTAAATGCAATAATTATTGAAGATTGCAAACAAGTTAATATAAAGAGTTTCAATATCATTAAATTATAATAATCCGTTGGATGTAATGCAAATTGCAAATAGTATATATTTTGTCTCGACTTTAATAACTAAAACTAAAATAACTATTATAAAAATTAAACACTTATACAAATTTCACCTCAAGTCTATTCCTAGTCAAGTAATGGAATTCCATAAAGAAAACTAAACATTTTTTAAAGAAAAAAAATAAGGTAAATTTTTCAAATCAAGACATTGACCCGATTAAGGCAAATCCGAAGACCTATTTGGTTCACATTTTATTGCCAGTTTATTAAGCTCTGCGCTCTTAAACTTTAAATCAAACCAATTAGATTCGATAAAACGAATGAGTCTTACAGTCAAAGATGTCTAAGGATTATGGTCAATATCTTTTATGTCTATCAGCAAATTAAAACAGTTGAACCGAAACTGTTATTACCTACAAATCCCACGCTAAATCCAATTCAAACAGAAATCTTGTCATCCTTTTGCACGCATACAAAATTCTTACAAACAATCCAAACGAATAAATACTGTATGTTTGTGTTATGTATACTTATAATTAGTACATATATGTAAATACAAAATTATAAATAAATTCACCAATGTGGAATGATCGATTTGTGTTTAGATTATTTAACAAATAAAATCAACAGCTAGTTTTGTTTTATATTTCTTTCTGAATATATTTAAATATCTACTATGGTCAAGTTTACTTATACGTTTTTTCACGAAGGAATTTGTGAATCGATTGATATTATTTAAAAGTGGCAATGAAAACAATATATACTATCGTAAACTTCAAGCAGTTTTAGAAAATTAACGATTCATCATTAGGAAATATTCGTAACGCCAACATTTTACTTAAAAAAATATTTATAAAATGGCTATATTGAATTTTGTAAAAACATTTTAATTGTTATTATTACTATTTTTATATGTGGCTATTAGGTATTTAACATAAAATACTGACCTCTAGATATTTTCCGAATCCCTTCATATCTTAGTTTCCCCTGTATTTCAAAGAACTTATTTTAAATATTTTTGCTCTGTTTCTGTTCGCCCGAATGATGGTGTCAATAGAAGTATTTATGATTTTTTCTATTTTGAATAAAAAACACATTTTGATATTTTTAAAACATTGTCCACTATTTTAGTTAATAAAATATATGTTTGTATTAGAGTATAACAATATTTTTTCATATAAATAAACAAAAATAAATAATGATTACACATTATCAATTTTAAGTGCATGGTAATAGAAATAAACGGAACGTTTGAGTTCATCGAATTTCGTACTAATGTGTTTTCAATTTAGTGAAGGTTTTATATTGGTATCGTAAAAACTAGATTATGGGGACATCAATGTAATATATATATCATACTCGCATCCGACTGTATTCTCTATCGAAAATACTGGCATCTAGACATTCTTCGAATCCCTCTGTATTACCCCTTTAATCTTAATTTCCCCTGTATTCAGTATCATAATGTATCATACACGTTATACTGTATCCAGTCCGCCGAAGATGGATTGCCCACCCTCCAATTGTATCCTGGAATATTGTATCCTGTATCACAGGAGTACCTTGGGCCTTTAAGCGGAGCCGTGAAGCCCTGTAAAAAATTGGCTTAAATATGAATGAGAAGGTTCGATATTTTTTTTTAGCCCACGATCGTGAACGCTCGAAATGGAACAATGAAATATCCGCTAATCCAAAAACACAGTACTATTGAGAACGAAATTATGTGCAACGTTGCCGAACTGTATTCATGTTTAAACTCATAAATATTATAATATTTTTAATTACTTAAAATAAAATGAAGTCCAAACTTTCCGATTGCTTCGTATAGCAATATTCCACATAGATCGCAGTAACTACAACTTAAACAGTACCACTCGGTTCGCATAATAGACAAACACTGTGCAAAATTGTATAACAAGAACAGCACAGTTCAAACACGAGACGACAGGAATGTCATAAACTAACTTCTGTATATTAAATAGAATAAGTACTCCTGCGGTACCGTTGTCTTTGTGCCAATATATAGTTTTATATACCTACCGAATAGCTGGATACACCATAATTAATAAAAACGGTCGATATATTATGTTATATTATACACGTATAAATCATTATCGTTGTGGCATAATGTTATACGATTTCCAGGAAATTTGCCCGCAAGTATTACATAAAACATCAAGGACTTTGCATACGTGCGTAATCAAACAATATTGTTTGTTCAATACGTTTATATACATATAGTAAATATATAAATGATTAATTCTTAATTACAAAAGGAGAACAAATTCTGATTGATTTCTACTCTACACTGTAGATATATCGCGACGCGAAGTAAACCAGTTTGTTTAAAGGTACAGAACAGTGTGGTAGAATTTTCAATTTTACAACAGTGAACTTTGTTACACATTCAAGCGACTTCTATTGTTTGAGTGAGCATATTATCTGCGAATGTATTTTAATCGTTATCCCGTAATGCGCAAACGAATTTTTCGGTGTTTAATAATATTTGCGTATTTCGTCGATTCGCAATCGTTGGATCCAAAAGACAGTGAGATCCGTCAAGCAAAACACGAGTATCACGGTATAATATCACAGTGTTTTTTTTTTTATTTTAGACGAACTGTGTAAAGTACTTACAAAGACTAGTTACGATTACGAGTGTAAACCAATCGACCAATGTCCGACGGTTCTTCAAGCTATCAAGAACTTAACGGAATATCCCAGGATTTGCAGATTCCGTGGACGAACTCCAATCGTATGCTGTCCGACTTATCAAGATTCTCTTAGTCAAAAATCCGACGCGAGTAAGTGGATCGATTGTAGTTGATCGTATATTATAATCTGATCGATTTTGTTGATTATATAGAGTGCAGAGAATACTATGCGTTGACTACAAAAGGCGGCGGAACAATCAATTCTGGCGGTTGTCGGACGAAAATAGTCTCAGAAAAAAGTATTCTCACAATCGTTGGTGGAACTGAGGCTGAAGCAAGCGAGTTCCCGCATATGGTAAGTACTTGAATTAATAATTAAAAAAAAACCAAACACAACATTTCAAATACACGTCGTTCTATATAAATATACGTCGTAAAAAGTACACACATTCCTTGGTACCTTGGTACGTTGGTAAAATCAATCAAACTTTCAGATTATTAAAATTTATCTTTATTTTGAATAGTGTGCTGTGTTTTGTTTCAACAAATTGAATTTATTTCGTAATCCCTACAATGGTTTGATCAAAATACTAAATTATTTACAATATGAATAATATAATAAATTATTATACTACATAATGTGAATCGCACAAAAAATATTTTAATTAATATCACTGATTCACTGAAGGGGGGAAGTGAAGTGGCCGGTCTGAAAATGAGAATTTTCTAGATGGCCTGGATCGTATAGCCTGGTGACTTGATATTTGTATATAATATTTTATTTACTCGCATTATTTAAAAACTTCGTAAAAAAGTTATGTCAAGACACATACTATATTCTTATTTCAGTACCCATTAAGATTTTTTGTATACATTTTTCTTTTAAGTGTAACATAGTTAATATTTAAAACGATAAAATACGGTGAAATCATTTTTCTAATTTTTTTGGGGAGTCGAAAGTCCCACTTCCCTTCTCTTATTTTCGCTCAGTTCGCTCATGTCTCAAATAAAAATGTATTTACCTCCTCTCACTTCAAAATCCTGGTTTCACCACAGTTATAAATTAAAACGCGATAAAAATGTTGTTTATAGGGAGGTAACTATGACTGAAATACTGAATTATAGAAGATATATGACAAGAAACTCGTCATTATATTTTCATAGTTTAAAGGGAAATGCAAATAAAATACCAAAATCTTTCATCTCTGTACATCTCTAAACTGTACACTTTAATTCATCGATTGTTATGCTTGTTGCTTGCAACATTCGCAATTGCGATCAATGTCATAATAGAACAGTAAATAATTATAATTAGTAATTAATTTTAAACAGTATACACAGTTAAAAACTTAAAATTTCATTAATATTCAATTAAAAACATTATATTAATGTTTAGGTGCTTTTAGGATTTGGTGAAAACATTAATGATGTTGAATGGGCTTGTGGCGGATCGTTGATCAGCGATCGCTATATACTGTCAGCAGCACATTGTTCCAAAATTAAAAAAAAGTAATATTTATTGTATACAAATTTAAATAAAGTGAAGAAAAAAATTAAGTTATTATTATTATTATAATCAGTTAATATTAAATAATGTTAAATTTGAAACAATTGTTAAAATATAGGTACGTAAGATTTATTTACTTCTGTTGCGATTTTTTACCAGGGGCCCTGTGAAATGGGTATTACTGGGTGACCACAATTTGGAAATGGACGATCAAAAACAAGACACACAGATTGTCGAAATTGTTCGGAGTATTTTACATCCAGATTATAAGCCACCGTCCGTGTATAACGACATCGGCCTCTATCAACTAAACGCGCCAGTCCAATTCAATCAATTCATTTTACCAATATGCTTGAACACGGCGGAAATACAATTGGACATCGAAGAAGCCGTCGCCATTGGCTGGGGAAGAACTGGTTCAGGTAAATATTTTCTTAGCGTGTTTACGGAAAACCGTTTACGGTACATAAAATCGGAAATAATCAGAAAACACAACAAAAAAGGAAACTGTAAATATTCGTAACTACATTAGATATATTTAAACTTATATTACCTATCAACCTATATTACAAAATATTTAAATACCTTATTAGTGTACATAATATTATATTTGTTTAACATAAATAGTTAACATCTCAATTATTTTGTTGAAATTTAAATTAAGTATAGTAAACGTTTCACAGTTCCCCCATTTTTTTTTTTTTTTTCTACAATATTGTACTGATCAAATATGTATTGTTAAACATTTCAGCTAGTTCAACAAGTAAAGTTTTGATGAAAGTTTCGTTAGATTTGGTGGAACAAAATGAATGCAACCGTAGTTATTCGCTTACCATGGGCAAAAAGTTGGCTTTTGGAATAGATCCGAACAGTCAGATTTGTGCTGGAAAAATTAACGGTGGCAAAGACACATGTCAAGTATACCTATACAAATATACTTTAACCATATATTTTAGAAAATTTGAATAAAACTTAGACAACAGTTAATTATCAAGTTTAATAGAATTAATCTAATTTCGTAGTTTTAAATGTTTTAATATTAATATTTAATTTAAACAGGTAGGTTACTCAATACTCTTCCGACGATAGATAAACAAAAACAGTATTTACTTCGGGAAAACAATGTCTGCCGCCTTCCCCTTCTCCCTAAAGCAGCTAGCGGTTCACTTTTCATGTTCACTTTTTTATTATCATTATTTTATGTTTATTTTTTTTCACTCTTATGGGTTTTAAATTGGAAATCTACCACGTACTACAACGGTCGCATGTAACGTTCTACTATTCACGGCCAAGATATGTGTATAAACAAAAGCCAGCAAACTCCAGTACTGTTTCGGTGTCGGGTGATAATACTATATTTACTATTTCATATAGATATTATTTTTAAATGTACGTCCGTTAAAAATTCGCAGCCTATAAAATATAGATACGTACTATTATAAAAAAAAAATGTACGATTCTTAATGGAGCTTAAACGTTGTTAGCTAAATTAAAATTCAAAATTATATTAACTTTATAGTGGGTATTTGTTGTTATTTTTATGAGTTTCGTTAGTTAATCTAACATCTATATATTTTTGATCCAAAGGAAAAATGGCTTAAATCGATTTTTTTTTTATTATAATTTTGTCCTCTTTTGGTCTAATGTAAGTGTAAGTACATTCTAACACGCGGTATACTATACTGAAAACTAAAAAAATCTCAAGTGGTACACTATAATATTATGTGGTGATTTTTATTCGGCAAAAGACATGCGTCGTAATATGATTATACGACTCGATGAGCCATCCAGAACGCCGTAATTCGATTAGGCCATTTAGCCATTTGACATAACCCAAGTCCGGGTCTCGGGATCCACTGACTCTCTTTTTGTGGGTCTGCGGTCGGGACCGAACACATACTTTGCGTTACACCTATTATGTTCAGCGTTTTCTGTACTGCAGGGAGATTCCGGAGGGCCACTGCAGATCGTCCATCCCGAGTTTGAATGCATGTACACGCAAGTGGGCATTACGTCGTTCGGCAAACTCTGCGGTCAACCCAATGCGCCTGGCGTCTACTCGAGGGTTTCGAATTACGTGTCGTGGATCAATAGTATCGTTTGGCCGTAAAAAGTCGTCGTTTTCGTCATCCGTCCCCTTGAATGTTGACGGGAAGCCATCGATCCGCGCCGTACACACACGCACAACGACTGTGACGCCGTAAATATTAATGTACTTACCTAACTGGCCAGTGACCAATCTAATTCGCTCAAATATTGTTTGTGTCACCTGACCAAACTAACTATACTCGTATATATTATCACAACAAAAAGATTTCAGTATAACGCCGTATAAAAAAAAAAAGCTAAGTTAAAAAAAAATAAATTTAGTAATGATTAAATCTTTAAAAGACGTGATATAATATGGAAACTAAGTTAAATGCCATTTTATAATATTTCAAATATCTATGACGACAAATAAGATCAATTGTAAAGCTAAATACTTAGTCAACATATTGTTTAACTACTTGGCAGGACGTGTAAATATACTTAAATAAATACAAATAAGTAACTACTATAGTAAATTTCGTAAATTAATTAATAATTTATAAACAATATGTTGACTAAGTATTTTGCTTTACAATTGATCTTATTTGTCGTCATAGATATTTGAAATATTATAAAATGGCATTTAACTTAGTTTCCATATTATATCACGTCTTTTAAAGATTTAATCATTACTAAATTTATTTTTTTTTTTTCACGGAGTTATAACGAAATGTTTTTGGTGTGATATCAACTATTTTTTTTTTAAAAAAAAAAAAACGAATTTGTTAAACCTGAAGATGAATTTCGTTAATTTGTTTATTTTTTCTTTATCATATGTTATTTTTAATTATTATTTATTACATATAATAGTCATAATAATAATCCAGCTGGCATCGCTGGCTTCCTGTTGTTATATCTTACATTTTTATTTGTAACTATTTGTTTTTTTTTTTCTAAAGCTATAATGTAAACATCCTTTCCACCTAACAGAGAATCCGGCGTCATCGTCGTCACTACCGTTTTCGTACAACTATTAAATCTCATTCCGTGCATGTTTAGACTAATATTAGATAATGATACGATTTAAATCTAAATCATTTCGATAAAATACACGTAAATTAATTAAATCAAGTACAATCAAGTTACGATATTTTCCGGTGATACGGTATACATACAGAGACATAGGGACTGCATGCCTATCTGTTTTAATTGATCGTCTGATGTTAACGAGTGAACGTTTTATTTTGTGCAAGTTAACAAACGAAATGTACTTGGATATTGAAACATCGAATATATTTAAAACACGCAGAGGAAAACGTCGTTTTAGTATTGAAAACTACGGGTATAGCGAGTTTCGTGTATTAAAATCGAGCGATGTATATTGTTTAGATATGTAGTGTAACGACCCAAAAAGAGGATTAGTTAGGGTAGGTTTATTGATTTTAAATAAGACACATATATGGTACAATAGTACATGGTTATCGTGATACAGAAGTATAATTTGAAAATAACATATTAAGATTTGATTAATATATAATGTTTTTTGTACGATTTAATATCAATTACTGTATTATTGACTGATTGATGATTGTTCACATCATTACAGTAGATACCAATAAAAAATGTACACCAACAGTTACAGCGAACAGTTTTTTGGGATTTGTTGTACCTAATTTATGTATGCAAACGAGTTTTGTGTTTGAGTCACTTTCGTGCAAGCATTAAATATGTGTGTGGGCAATCGAGTTGTGCGTTTGTGCGCTAACGAGTCGCTAAAAAAAGGTAAACGTACGCAAACGGGTATCGTCCACGCAGATGTAAGGAAAACATATTTATTTATTTTTATTTACAGTGTAATCTGCAATTCTTGATAACACTCATTATTTCGGAAAGTATTTACTGTTTTCTTTTTTTGGAGTACTTATAAAACAAATAACTCTAAATTATTATACATTACGTTTATATTTTGTTATTCTTGTTTTTATGGGTGAAATCTCTACTCACTTTCGATTTGTAAATAGTAAACTAAATAAAAAATTCCAAAATTAATGAAATTGTAGTAAAAATACATTTTAGTGTTGAATTGTTTAATATCGAACTCATATATATGTATATGCACTGATAATCTGAAAAAAAGAAAGTTATTTATAGACAGAAAAAAAAGAGCTGATACTGCAAACGAATGCGCCAATTTTATAGATGGAAAGTCGGGAAGATTGAATACATAAAGTTATTTAATTTGAACCCGTAAGGAACGATAAACTGTTGCTAATGAAAAACGATTCGGAGCGAAGTTTAATAATTAGGTATACATGTTTTGAAAGACCGTAATATTTACGATTTTTGTCAAATTTTGATTTTAACTCTTATTAAAAAAAAACTACTTTACACTAGGTTTTTTTTTTTTTTTGACCCCTAAGTACGTCCGCGGCGTGACGAAGCAATGATATCAAACAAATAATACATTGAGAACATAGTGATCTAATAATTTCCACTAAAAAGGTTATCAACAAAAAATATGTTAAAAGCAAGAAGAAAACAAGTTCCATAAATAGATGGTTTTTCTTTTCGGCATGATAACACAATTAAGAATTTGCGCGCGAGGTTTTTAAACTCCTCTAAGCCTTGAGAGTTGAGATCATATTGTAATATTGTATCATTAGAATATTGACGCCGTTTGGTCCACTTGGAAACAATGCGCCCTCTACACGCGGACTATAATATTACAACTATTTCACAGCCGCCCCCCAGTATTCCGTTATCAATCGGTGTTCAGTGACGAGATAGGGTATATCTCGTTTGTTTGGGTGATAACAGTATTGTTTTTTTTTTTTTTTAATGCTTTCCACTTCGCAGAACTAGTGTCTACAAACAACAATCCAGTCATCACAACAATAGTGTGATAATATTATAATACAAATAATATTAAAAAAACATCACTGCCGCCGCCGATGACGAGTTTACCACGTCGTATATTTTAGGAAAATCGTTTTATGGGCGTGCAACAGTTGCGACGAAAGGTACCTATTGTGTAATACGTTGGCAGCCAATTGGTCGTTGTGCGTAGCGACGGCGGTTGTACGCGAGCGTACCTATTTTAATAATATTATTCCGTTTGCGTGTGACTAGATGGTGGATGTATCGCGTATGCCGCAGCCATCTGTCCGAATAAATTGATAAAGTAAAAAACAACAACAATAATAGAATAAATCGGAAATGCTGTGAGTGGCTGGCACGGTCTGCTCGCCCGAAGATCTTACGTGGCATTCGTCGCCCGCGGCTAAATTACCTCGATGTTTATCGGCACCATGGACCGTCCACGTTTCAGAAAACACTACACATTGCGCGCCGTCCGACGTTTTACTTTCTTTTGAGGTGCATTGAATACACTGCACACGGACGCTGAGAACTCGTTTCCCCTCTTCTGAACAGAAGACTCACAGACCTACGTGATAAAAACAACATTTAAATAATCTTACGCACGTGTTACAATATCGTTGTTACTAGGCACATATCCATAACACAACCTGTTCATTTCTGAGCATGTAAATAATATTTTCGCTCTCATAGTCTTATACCAGTTTATTCATGTGCGGTGTTCACACAAAAATGACAGACACCAAAGCCCTGATATTAGTTGGCGGCTATGGCACTCGTCTGCGACCATTGACGTTGAGTCGTCCAAAGCCCCTTGTTGAGTTTGCCAACAAACCAATGATACTTCATCAAATCGAAGCTCTAGTCACGGTCGGAGTACGAGAGGTAATTTAAGTTTAACATAACCTATAACAGAATTCAAAATATTCCATTTGTCTAGCATTTAAATATTTATTTAATATATCACCATCTGATACATACCTCAGTATGTTGTATTTCTTTAAGATGTAATAATATTAGTTCAATATTAATTTGATTATCATTATTTAATTGCTAAATTTTTTTTATCATTTATTGTTTATTATAGTACTTACTATTCCTCTTTGAACTATTAAATAACAATTGCTGTTGGTACTTAAAATAATTTGTTGTATTGCAAGATTTAAAATGTTTTTCTTGGCTGTTTAATGTAGGTAATATTAGCTGTGTCATACCGTGCTGAACAGATGGAAAAAGAGATGAGTGACGAGGCCAAGAAACTAGGTGTTCGATTGGTTTTTTCACATGAATCTGAACCACTTGGCACAGCTGGACCTTTAGCTTTAGCCAAGCATTTATTGGCCAACGAACAGAATCAACCGTTTTTTGTTTTAAACTCAGATATAATTTGTGAGTATCCATTTAAAGACTTGATTGCATTCCATAAATCACACGGTTGTGAAGGCACTATTGTGGTAACCAAGGTTGAAGAGCCATCCAAGTACGGTGTAGTAATGTATGACGAAGAAACTGGTCGCATAGATAGTTTTATTGAAAAACCTCAAGAATTTGTTTCTAACAAAATCAATGCGGGTATGTATATTTTGAACCCATCTGTATTGGAAAGAATAAAATTAGAACCTATGAGTATCGAAAAAGAAGTATTTCCATTTATGGCCAAAGACGGTCAATTATATGCCTTTGATTTAAAAGGATTTTGGATGGATGTCGGGCAACCAAAAGATTTTCTTACTGGTTAGTTGTAAATTTGTATGCATAAAATATAACACAATGGAATAATGTATAATTAATAATTTTTATATGTCTAAAAAATTATCAAATGTTATTATTTCATAGGAATGTGTATGTACTTATCATCGTTAAAGGCACGTTTACCATCTTTGTTGTACACTGGCGATGGTGTTGTAGGTAATGTTCTAGTTGACCCAACAGCAAAGATTGGTGATGGCTGTAAAATTGGTCCAAATGTTACTATTGGTCCAAATGTAACTGTTGAAGATGGTGCTTGCTTACGGAGATGTACCATACTGGCAGGAGCTACAGTAAAATCACACACATGGTTAGACTCTTGTATAATTGGTTGGCGTTCTGTAGTTGGATGTTGGGTCCGTATGGAAAATACTACTGTGCTTGGTGAAGATGTTATTGTTAAAGACGAATTGTACATTAATGGTGGACAAGTTTTACCACATAAATCAATCAGCACTTCGGTGCCTGATCCTCAAATTATTATGTGATTTTTAGTTGTGAAACTATTTTATTATTTTAAATTATATATATTTTTTTATTTCAATGTACCTACATAATTAGGGCTTCATTATTTTTATTTATTAAAAATTAAATTATATTATTTAAAAATATATATAGTAGGAATATTTTAAACTTACTATATCATTGGGTTTTTATGAAAAAATACATTAAATAAACAAATTATTTTTATTAATTATTCAATAGTAGAAACTCTCATTTTACTAAAAAACGATTTAAAATGATTAAACTAAATTGTATAAATCTAATCAAAATTGGACGATTTAAATATTCCATAATGCAACTATTCACTTTTTTCGGTTATATGATTTTACACATATCAATAAAACATTTACATTATGTATAAGATTCTGTACATAAACAAATATATATCAAAATTGGCAGTTGCCAACTGTTATTCACATTGCACAAATTATCTATCTGTTTATCTGCACAGAGTTTTTAATTTTTATACAATATTTTTATATTTGAAAAATAATTTTGAACAGATCACACATTTTATATGCTCGCCAATAATGTTTACTCCAGTTTTCAATATTTTGTAAATATCGGGGTAATAAACTAGGAAATTATAAATTATTATTATTATTACCATCTGTGTTCAGTTACCAATTTTTAAGGTTGCTATGTAACATTTTTTTTTTAGTCTTAACATTTATTTCCAGCTTTGAATAAAAACAACATTATTGTATAAATGTTAGTTCCTCCAGCTTTTGCTGTGCTTGGGTCTAAGAAATATACTCTCACAAGGTTTTGAATAGGTCTTATTTAGAAATTAAAAAAATTATACAATAGTTAGTTTTAATTATTATTTGTTATTTATTTTTGATGTAAAATGAATATTGGTATTAAAAACATTTTAAATTCGAAAAATAGTTAAAGCAATGTATTATAATAAACCAATATTTAGTACAGTGTTTCCCAACTGTATAACCTTTTATTTTTGTTCATAAATGAAATTTGGTTTCATAAACTATTTACGATCGGTCTGCAGACTATCGGTTGGGAGACACTAATATAATATGGGCAATAAGTACCTAATGTGTACAAATATTTATTTATTAATTGAAAACATAATGTTCACTTTTCAAAATTGTTTAATATTCTGTTACGTAAAATTATGTTATTTACACACATGTGTGTGTATTGCGTTATGTATATTCAGCTTATTTGATTGAATATATATATATATATATATATATTTAAATTTAACTATATTAACTTTACAGATCATTCATATTATGGAAAAGTTGGTAAGGTAATATTCATCAAGTTATTTAATTTATATCCGTAAGCAATAGTAAATTATTGCTAACGAAATACCATTTCGATTTCTAAGCATAGTTCAGTTACACATAAAATACTATATTTTTACTTAAACATTTATTTTCCAGCAGTTATTATGAAAACCTCTTGGAAAATAAAAATATGAAGTCTCCATTGCACCTAATAGAACGAAAATGCAACAAAAAAGTTTCTTGGCATTTTTTGATTGGAGCAAGATTTCTAATAGAAAAGATGTTTAAAGACAGAAAAAAAAAAATTATTGTAATTTTTCCCAATTATTATGAAAACAGTTTTGAAAATTCAAAAAATGACTTAATTATTCAACAAAAAAAGTCTTGTGCCATTCTTTAATTAAAACAATATTTCTGGCATAAAAGAAGCCTGTGGAAATGGCGCGCTGTAAATGTTTGCCTTTTGCCTATAAATTTGTTTCCAGTTTTTCTCAATTATTTTGAAAACCTGTTGGAAAATCAATAACCTCTCTAATGCACCAACTAGACAAAATATATTTTCGAAAAGGTACTACAATCTATACATCAGAGCAAGATTTCTATTCAAAAAGTTATTTACAGACAGAAATAAAAAGTGTTGATACTGCTGATGAGTGAACCACTGTTGTAGATGGATAGTTGAGAAGGTAGGATTCATAAAGTTATTTAATTTATATCTGTAAACAACGATTAATCTTTTCAACAAAAAACGATTCTGAACGGAGTTTGGCTATACCTACATGTTTTAAAAAACCATTGTATTTACAATTTTCATAAAAATTTGATACTCGGATGCTTAATAAAAAAAAAAATTAAATTACACTCAACTTTTTAACCACTAAGTACATCTTATAATTAATCAAACGAAATTGAAAACAATAAAATCATTATTTTCGTAAATTTTCAGTTTTTTCTAAATTTGTTTTGGTTTTTCTAATTATTATGAAAACTTCTTGGAAAATCAAACAACGACTTTATTAGTCACAAACAAGATTATTATAACAACATTAATGATTTCTTGTCGGTTTTTTTTTTTTTTTTGGAGCAATATTTTTGTTATAAAACAAAGCGTACAAATTTAAAGTAATTCAATTGTAACGTCCGTAAATTAGTCAGTTTTCATTTTTCGTGTTTTTTGGTTATTCCCAATTATTAAGGAAAGCGTTTAAAAAATCAAAATGACCACTTTATACTGGAAACATTTTTCTTTCGGAAAAGATGTTACACTTGAAAATCAATACGGGATTTCTGGTAGAAATTATATACGCAATATTAAAAAAAAAAGCGGACATACTTCGCACGATGCAAAGCCACTGTTGTTATTGGAAAGTTGGGAATGTAGAATACCTATAAAGGGGAAATTAATTTGTATCAGTAAGCAACGATAAACTATTGCTAACGAAAAAACGATTCTGAGTGGCGTTCAGTTTATAGTGTTGCTTTGTCAACAAAATATAAGTCATATTTTGGTAAAAAATTACATATGTACTGAACATTTTCTATAATAATATTCTTTTGATATTGTACCTACCCATTATCCGTTCTTCCGTTTTTTTTCCAATTTTTTGGAAAGTTTGCACAATAAATCGAGTGGTATTTTTCCATTAAAATCGAGCGAACGATAGGGGTCTCTAGGTACACCTAAAATGATTTTCGAAACCGGGGCTTCTTATCGTGAACACTAGGAAGACAATATGTTCTTATAACCAATTTTCGACGACAAACATACTTTAAATTAGACAATATAGAGTTATTTAACATAACATCAGGACTTCAAAAAGCTTAGTGAGTCCGCTCAATTCTGACTTCACCATCGTTCTTAAATCGGCTATTTACATATGTTCAAAACATAAAAATTAAAAAATTAGATTGCTTCATTATAATTATTTATTCTAACAATTTTCTTCAAAATTTGCTATTAAAATTCCTTTGCCCAAAAAAAGAATACCACATTAATTAAAATTTTTTTTTTTTTGTTAAGTCTAACAATTTTACCACAGAGTGCGAGTATCTACCGAATAAAAATTACGTACAAAACTCGCAAAATTAAAATGTTTTTAGTTATAAATTATTATTAGTTTTTTAATACATATTTATTTACAATATAAGCATTACAGTGTGATATAATGTGTCTTTTTAATTTGTTCAATTGTATGCTTTTTGTTTTATATTTCGTTATTAATTTAAATTGTTTTTAAAAAAGTTCGAAAAATGTACTGAAATATACATTTATATTCTTAAAATCCTAAAATAGGTATGCATTTAAAATACGGAACTATAAAATATGCAAAAGAAAAATAATACCCACCCAGTAGCGCACGCAAGATTTTTTTTTTCCGGAGGGGTTTTGTTTATAATAATTTCCAAAAGAGGAAAGCACTTATTATCAGTACAGTACCCAGTAATTACTATTACTATTATTATTGAATAAATTATTTTTGATGAAATTAAATTTTATTTTATTCTGTGGTATGCGATGTTATGTTGTTGAATTTAAAACTTGGTCGTTCGCGCCCTTCGCCAACCCTAAACGCGCCGCTGCTCGTGTTTGCTTGCTAGTTGCTTTATATTATCCTAAGTATAAAAAATCAACAATATAGGTATCTATACTCTATACTCTAAACAGGTTTACACGGTCCTAGAAAACAATCGCTAAATTAAAGAAATATTCTGGTAGAAAACAAATTGCGTAAAAATAAAAACAATGGAAACGGTAATGCCACGACATGCCGTAAATATTGGCCATTTCCTGTAATTTTACTTTCGGATTTTCCCAATTATTTTGCAAATCCCATGGAAAATGAAAGAACGGCCTTTCTAATGCACCAACTAGGTCCAAATGCAACGAAAAAGGTCTCTTGTCGTTTATAAATTAGAGCAAGTATCTAATTCGACATACAGAGTGGTTACAGACATGAAAAAAAAAAAAACCACATAGGTCGGTAAAGATAAAACCAATTTGAAATATTTCGCAAAATTCCAAAACGCTATAGACACGAATACACGGTACAATTCAATAGCGTGTACTGTGTGTTATGGGGGAAAATTAAAAATGCATATATATTTTAATAATACAAATAAACACGTGTTTACTTGCTAAAGTTGTTTTGCTGTATACCTAGGGTATGAGGAGGGCTCAATGATATGCTCTATACTTCCAAGATATGCGCATACCCAAGACGAAAACAAATTACTAATATTTGCATCTGATGAAATATACATGATAGTTTCAGAAAGGGAATACACACGAGAGTATAGATTGGAGCCGTTCTCTGTTTAGCTCCAGTGCCGAACACCAACAGATCGCTCTCGTGGTACCTACCCGTATTATAATATGTGTACGCCTGTGTAGTATCGGGCGAATTCTCGGGTCATTATAGTTCCGTGGCATTAGAAATTTGGACTTTTTTCTAACGATATTCGAGAGAATTAAAATTTGTATCGGTGCTTGCATATATATGTATAATATTTTTGCGCAGGTATGAATTTTTCAAAAATCTGAAAATGCAAATCGAAATTCTTTATTCATAACGGGTATATAAATTAAACTATGTATACCGTGGAAAATGTCGGTTATTCTAATGTATTATATCGTTCTGAAATATGGCAAAAACATTTGACAACAACGCCCCTCGGCCCTCTCTCACGTAATATTTTTTTTTTTTCAGCTTCAACATCTGTACGCGGCGTGTCACCCAGTAAATTACAAAGACGAATGAATAAAAAAAACAAATAACCAATCCAACTAGTCGATAATATAATGTTGTATTATTACAAGGAAACGTTAATAATAAATATCGAAGCGTACGCGCGTATACATAATAATAAGGTATTCGTATAAAGCATGGTTAAAAAATATAAAATATAAAGCCTCGTTCAAAGTGTATAATATTACGTACGGGTTTAAAAACACGTGCACTATTGGCATTTTTCTGTCGGCCGATTACGTGCCATAGCACGGTGGTGATAATATAACGGGCAATAAACAGGCGGGTAATAAATAGTTAACAATAATAGTGGTGGATATCGAACACAAAATATAAATGGAATGCATAATAATAATAATATAAGTAACGTTTGCGTTGGACAGTAAATAATGGTAATATTGCGGGTGTGTTAGCACGTGTGTGTTTGCAGTTTATTGGTCTACGACGGTCTTTAGTAAACTTTTGCAGTCCGCTTCGCAATCGCTCTGCAAACAAAACAATCGAATAATAATTTATTAATAAATATGTAGGCCGTATTGTAATGTACTTGAGTAAAAGTATTCAGATGCTTTTCAAGTACTCAAATACGTATTTTAAATACACTCGATAATAGTGCTTGGGCGCACTATTTATATACTTTTTTTTGAAAGTATCGGTATTCAAAATAAAATGCTGTTTTTAGATAATTTTCCGTCTTGCTTGATGCACAAGAACGCAAATTTAAATAAAACAGTTCAAATTTTCAAATAATTTCAATAATTCAAACAATTTTATTTATATTTATAGATTGTTGCGTTTCGCGTAATTAGTATGTTATAACAAAATTGGAAATACCTTTACTTGAATTACATTTTTGTATAAAAAAAAAAAGTAATTTGAGTATTTGAAAGTATCTATAAATACTTTTGAAAAGTATTTGTACATTAATATTTTTTGCCCGAGTATTCAAATACATATTTTAAACGCTGTACTCGAATACGTTTTAAAAGTGTCTTTTACACAGACTGAGTATAGGCAACGATAATATTATTGTGCGTCCATATAAGTACTTTTAAAATAGACATTTAGACGATCGCGAATTATTTTCGACGACGTTGTAAAAAACGCGACCATTTTTTTTTTTCGTCTTTTTCTATGAGACGATTATTACTAATTTACCAGCGCGGCGAATTTGCGATCGGAGAGTCTATTATTGTAACGCTATTACTATAAGCAGGTGCCAGCGTCGATTATATTATGCAGGCAATCAATAATGCTAGGTACCTATCGATTACTAATCCGCACACCCCATTCATATTTGCTGTGACGAGCAATAGCTTTTAGGCGTGCCGCGCGCACAGCGCCCATGCGTTTCGCGCCCATTACCCTTTTCGCGCTATTTCCGCCCGTTATCGAAATCTTTAGCTGCTGAAATTATACAATGCGGACTGTTCGCTCAACATTCAATATGATATAATATAATCGTATAAAATTGTCAAAATTATAGTTTTGATTCAGATTTCTGAACGGACGATAGCTGATGGGTGGGTGTAATAGTGATGTTTCACTTTTAAAATGTTGGTAGGAGGAGAGTAGTGGAACACTATAAAACGCCGTGTGCCGTTCGGCCACATAAACGATACTCCAGTACTCCACTACTCGCCACCCCCCCCCCCTACCTAAACCTAAAAGTGAATTATCTCGTTGACGGGCCGACGGAAATCGAACGTTTTCACACCAAAATGTAATTAATGTAACATTCTGTCTATTCATGGAATTTTTAACATAATTCCCATTCGAAAAACCAAATTTGTTATCGCCACTGGATACTCCTTAAATGTTGTGAAAACTCCAAGTATTCGATAACATAGGCTTTAACCACACTTAAAAATTCTGAAAACTTTTTTCGACAAATATTCAAATCTTTTTTCAACATCGAATCGTGTAAATGCAATTGCTCGCCGTTACGACGGAATATAAATTTGGATAATTTGGTTCTAGAAATACAATCACCCGAAATAGAACAGACAACCGAATTGTTTTTAAGGCGTACGGTGTAGGCAGCTACAAGTGTATAGATGTGTGCAACGTGAGTGCGTTTGTACGTAACACGTATTATTATTCCGATTTACGGGTCGGCATTTTATCGTTCCGACATGGCCGGTTTTAAAATGGGGTTTGATAGTTTCGATACATTGTTCTTAGCCGTTTAACTTAACTCCCTTTACAATATTATCCACGCAGTTTTTTTTAACGGCATCCATACATCGTTCGTTCATTTTTTTTTTTTTTTTCATACTCTGGACACGTGTAATAATATCAATGATTCCGTCGGTAATCGATACGGGTATTCATTTCTCGCAGAGCGAGTCATATCCGATCGAAATTAACGACAAAGATGATAATTGATTTGGGCCAATTCTATTTGAAACGGTATAGTGTTGAGAAGGACTTTTATGGGAACGCCTCATGGAACGCGTATTACTTTTAAAACAATGGAACGACGGGCGGGAAAGAATTCCAAGTTGCGAGGAACGTTTTAATATTTATAATTCAGTACGCAAGTGACTAATGATTAATGACTCATACCAATAATATGTTTGTATTTCCAAAACAGATTAAAATATTGGTATTTTCAAATTAAAAATATAAACAAATTATAGTTTGGAATTTGCACTATAAATACCTATTAATAAAAAATCAGAAACGTTTAGATAAAGTTCATTTTTATTATTTTTTTTTTTTTAATTAATGAGAACGAGATTACTTTTTAAAAGCCACTTTCCACACACTACAGGTTCCATACATGTGCTTATATTTAATTTTTATTCTTAAATCTAGTCGAATTTATTTACCTCGTGTTTCCTAAGTAAAAACTAAGAACTTATTGTATTATTCTAACAAAACAAAATATAAATATGTTATAATTTAAAATATATTTTCATTTTAAGAGCATACCTATTTCGTATATTATCATGAGAGTTCGGATGTTTATGCACTTCAAATAACTGTAATATGTATGCATTTATGCACTAAAAAATAACCGAATATGCATTTTATTTTTAGTTTAAAAAAAAACACCAAAATATGCACAAAAAATTTATTTTACCTTAAGTATTTAATTTTATTAGTAGTATTTTTCTTAGTGGTTATTTTTATTTATTATTTTTTTAATACTACATATTAATTTACAATAAAAGCGTTACAGTGCGATACATGGATTTTACTGATTTTTTAATTTGTTTAAATTGTATGCTTTTTTGCTTTATATTTCGTTATTAATTTAAATTTTTTTAAAAAAAAGTTCGAAAATATACTGAAATATGCATTTATGTTCTTAAAGTCCATAAATATGCATCTAAAATACAAGACCATAAAATACGCAAAAGTATGCAAAGTAAATATATTGTTATTTGATTCTGTAGAACATGAATCAAATTTGTATCCAGGTCAGCATTGAATTGGACAAACAGAAAAAAATACGCAATTTCATAAACATCCGAACCCTAAATTTATCATTACACAATATAGATGAGTATTTTTTTTTATATTTCTTAATATTATAAACTTTTAACCCAATAACTATTGTATAGCCACATCAAATATAACGGTTAGGTATAACTTATGATAAATTACGCGTACCTGTGTTGTTTGCCTGTCCGGCATCGCTATCGCAAACATGCGGCCGCTTTTGAAGATCCAAACTCTCGACTTCGATCTCACGGTCTACTTACCCGCAGTGTAAAGTGTCATAATATAGGACACGTACGGTTAAGGACACGGTAACGTAATAAAATGCGGATTACAGTATTGGCATACCCGTACTGTAAGTATATCGATCAAATAATATTATACTTGCAAAACGGTTCGCCGAAGTCTTATATCCGAGTACTCTTCATTCGTCAACGCGATCTCTGCAATGTTGGTAAAGTTTCTTACCCATATAGTACGGTATCGTAAGGATTAAATACGATTTTTCATTCGCGTGACGTGCGTTTTTCTCTACTCGATTTAATTATAAATATCAATACTATATAGTAGTGACGAGAAAGACATGTTTTCGTGCATCTAACTAAAGGCGTTTGATTTTTTTTTAACCAAGGATAACATATTTTATTATATTTGTTTTTAAAATAACGCGAGGGGTAAATTCAAATTACTCTCATTTCAGACAGATATTGCAATTCTGTGAAAAAGAAATGATCGGACTGTATTTTTGTCAAAAAAAGGTTTTCGAAAAAAAAATAAACACTCACAATTGAATATTAAAAAGTGTTTTTCGAACCTGTCAAATTATTTAAATTATTATTTAGCGAAATTATTATTCGTAGATATATAAGACAGAAGACTGGGAAACGGTTTTGATTTATTTCGTGAAAGTTTTTTTTTTTTTCAAATATCACATTTTTGCATTAAGTGAAGTTCGACTAATTCAATTTAGGTAAAAGTACGATTCGTTTATCCCCAGTGCGAGAAATGAAAACATTTCGCGTATTCGTGCATTCTACCTGCAAGTACCTGTAGGCCACGGTTACCGCGAAAACTCGAATGACCATCCAAATAGGTATGTGAACAATATTATGAATTATAATTTATCACTTATACGCACATGCGCAGGCCAGTACCGACTTGGTTCCCGAGCCCATAGCTCACGCGGAACTGGTATCCGTTTGAAAAAGGTATTTAATTAAGGTGAGAAGGGGCCTGTAAGAATGGGAGGGGAAATGCGCGTAATTGGCTATATTACAGCGGGAACCAACAGGACCAGTAGTGGGATACGTCACAAATTTAAACGGGTATTGATTCGGCTCACCTGATAAACGGAGATTTGATTGAATTTTAGGGGTGGGGGAGCTATGGCTATGACTAAAGGCTATTTTAGTGATGAGCAAAAAAAAAAAAAAAAAATCATCACTTGCTTATTATAATACCTGCACACACCCATTTGTTGTAACACACAAAAACGCAATAAACCATATAATAAAAGGTCATTTAAATTTCGGGGCGGGAGGGAGGCTAGAATAATTATTTATTTTTTTACCAATTAAGAGGTGCTGTAGATGATTTTGTGGGTTATCCCCCCTAGCACCCGCCAATCGCCGTCTGTGGTTCACTTTCATCAATGCCTTTTTTCAAAAACTGAAGCGAAACTCGGCTACACCACAATATTATTTATTTGATTTGTAGTGATGCGATCAGCGCCGGATAGAGAATGTACCGGGCCACCGGGCTTTAGGGTTTTCACCGGCCCGAAATCATAGAAAATAGATAGAATCGTCATTAATTCAATTGAAAACAAGCATAATTTCGAGCCGAGATATCCCCCCGGTTCACCGGTATCACCGGTTCAATCCGGTCGTTCAATCGCCATCGACCAATTGACAATGCGTTACGCACAGATTGGACGGACCACGGATTTTGTACCCAAGATTTATACGGGTATATACGAGTAATACGAGTACCCATATAGTGCGGTAATCCGAAAAATAATCTCCGGGAGAAAAAATTGCCGGAAAAGAAATCTCCAAAAACAACTATACTATCTACTACTAATAATAATATTAAAAAAAGTTTACAGATACACCCGTTTCAATTTTATTTATACATGTATGCATAAATTACCGTATAAATATTGTCGTCTGAATGGTTTTTCAGTCTATAAATTATAGTAGATAGCACAGTTATATAACTGTGCTATCTACTCTCTCGAGGGAAGCCCGCATAGCTAACATTTTAGTTAGCAAGTGTCTAAAATTAATTGTTCAGAGCGATAAATTGTGGAATTAAGAAAATACATTAGATACAAACTATTTAGACACTCATATTCGGTATCTTCGCGTTACTTTAGTTATTACATAGGTATAACGGTTAGCACTACTTCAATTTCAATTTTTATATCCGATTTTTTTTTTTTTATATACATACAATTTTGACAGTATTGTTGCTTTGGGGGTTTTCCTCTCGGGATCTATAGTATAGCGTATTACGGGCAAATATTCTATTCCAGATTTCGGGCCCGAGAAAACCAGCAGCATATTATTATTACGTTATGTAACATTGCAACGGAATAATATGCAACAGATTAGAGGATACGGAAAATAAACAAAAATAAAAAATATCAACGTCGGCGCACGTGTTTTAATCAAAAAAGATGTGCTTCCTTAATACCACGATAGTGTTTCTTATAAATATATTTTAATATAAGGTTAAAAAAAAAAAAAAAAACAATAAGCCATTACTAGTTAACGCAATATTATAAATATATATATATTTTTTTAATTTTTAGCGGTAATATTATAATAAAATAACCTTACGGATACATACAATCAAACATTACGCATTTCTAGAGCGGGTGTTACAATAATAATATGAAACACAATAATAATATTATAATGTATTGTGTGTATACGGGTGTGTACCCGCGCGTGTAAACGGCGGTTTATTCGCGCGTCGGTATTTTAACATTGGCATGTACGGTTACCGAGCGTTTGTCGTGCGGGAAAAACGGCAAAAGCCAACGGGCGAGGGCGAAAGATATTTGCGAAACAACGTTACACCGGTAATACACCACTCGTGCGTTATTATTTACGCGAGTTTCCGACGTCAAGTGTTTAAACGCGTGCCCGTGCGTGTTAGCGTGTATACTGTAGTCTGAAAATGTTGCTTGACCGTAATAATAATATTAGTAATAATAATAACAGTACAAATATAATATCAATAATGTGATTGCGGTAGCGGTAGTAGCGGGATCGGTGCGCGTCCACGATGACGGTGGAACGGACGTGCGCGCGTTAGACTACAACGCGTCTTATTACGACGAAACAAGTGTGATAAGCAAATTTTTGAAATCTGAACCACAGTCGCTCTGAGAACATACAAATACAGTTACGTTAAGAATGGTGTATTCATTCGGTTCGGTTATAATAGTAGTATGTCACCGTCGCAAAGTCGCGATTTCGGCGGGATCGATTTTGACATTCAGAACCTTTGCCGTTTTCCACCAAACGTATATATATATATATATATATGTACCCCTAGCCCAAAAGGCCGAAACCATAACAGGCTTTCTCGGTGTCTCTGGCCACACACACACATTTCCGTTCTACGGCTTTATAAGCGTAATAACCCACTTATATACGTTTCCATCGTGCATACATTTTGGAATTTGTGCTCTTTTCTGAGATGCGCTCTTGGCCTGAACCAGGCTTGCCCAGCCCTATCTACGGCATTGGCCTTGCCGTTTTCGTCTTGGTTTTAGAACCACTAGAACACTCAGAACACACTGAATTCCTATGGGGGGGGGGGTTATCACGTTTGGACCAACAGTGGTTTTCATCGACTAAGAGAAGCGGGTAAGTTGAAAATCTAGCCAATCACATTGTATTAGTAGGTTTTAAGAAGATACAGAGCTGAGTTCGGTTATACGTGTATTGAAAGGTCGTAATATAAAAGATTTGAAAAATAATAAATTTCGTACATTTTCCCGTTTTTCCTACGTTTTTTCCTGGTTTTCCTATTTATTGTGAAAACCCTAGGAAAATAAAAAATCACCTCCTTAACGTACCATCTCAGGAAAATTATCTAGCATGGAAGTTATCTGGCAGAAAAGTTGTTCACAGATGAAAAAAAAAATTAATAAATATTATTGTAAAACCAATATATTCCTCTTTTCGCTCAGTATTCAAAATAAGAACTGAAACCTACTGGCGATGGATGCGCCACTGTTGTAGGTGAGAAATTAAGAAAGTAAGATATATATTATTTATTAATAATTATCTATTCGCAGTGATAAATCATTGCAATTAATTAACGGTACTGAAGAAGTTAGATTAAACATGTTTTGAAATGCCACGATTTTTACGATTTGTATTGAAATTTGAATTTAAAATTTAAAATTAAAAACGTTCAAAATCGGCAAAATATTTTGAATATTTTACCAAGTTTAGAAAGGCTAATATATAATTAAACCTTGTATAATGATTTAGGTGGACGTAGCTATCAAAATTGTGTAAATTTACTTTACCTCCTATAAAAAAAATCCCGCATACGCCACTGTTGGTAAACGGTGTTACAATTGGTGAAAAACGGCAAGGGACAGTTAGTGAAAATGGAAAAGTTTCGTTTTAGAGGAAACTGGTCATACTCATATAGGTTATAGTTGTTATATAAACTGTAGTGTAGTAGCAGGTAGATATGATTAGATACCTAAGTATAACATTGTAAGTACTATTTTCTACAAGATGATAGTTACAAGACTGTAGTTGTGAAATTCACAGCTGTATAGATAGTTATACTATCATGAGGTATATCGTCCGAACATAAAAGTTCTTCTGAACTATCGTGAAAACAAAAATCACACTGTCATGCATGCATTGCATGATTATGAATAGTTACTATCATGAGACTATGAGAGTGTTAATATATTTACTCCTATCACTATGTGAACAAATGTCACACTATTGCATACATTTTTTTATTGAAATTCACTCTACTATATCATCGTATGGGCGATATCTCTGTGATAATTGTTATCGCGATAGTTGTAACACTAAATATTATGATATTCACGACCATCGTGTGGATCAGGCTTAAGAATAACTACCGAAAATGTATACAATTATCAACGGGGTTTTAATACTTATTACCTATATCTGTTTCAATTTTTAGTTTAGTGTATTCTATAAATTATTGTATAACATTTAATATTGTGTTTTATTACGATGACGTTTTGGAAGAATAACAATTATTAAAATGACATTTGATTTATACGACGTATTCCTGTAGATATTAAAAATATGACAAATAAAAATATATTTTCCTTAACCCGTGCGCAGGCCACAGTTATTATTTCTCTTGTGGGTATCCGGGTGAAAATCGATGGACAATTTCAATTAAGTTAATTGAGCGTTAGCAATATTACAGTGTAACGCACGTCATAATCGTATTTTATACCCGGTATCACCGAAAAAAATCTCAAATAAAATTAAAAAAATATATTAACTTAATTGGTGCATGATGTCAACATTTCAGAGTAGTCATATACGCTGCAACGACCGAAATAATTATAGGTAATGGAATAATGTCTGCTTCAATGTCAGTTCTCCTGAGGGGCCACGCCGACTCATCTGATAACGGCATGTGTCACACGCACGTATCATTAAAAAACTAATTTTAAACCGGAGAGACGGAAATGTGAATTCGGTTTAATAATTAATCCAGCGTAGGCAGCTGGTATTGTTTTACAACCGTAATGGTTTGTCGGCCAGTCAGCATACAAAACAACGGTATGAAATAGTTCTAAAATGTAAGCGATGTGCGTCTGTGTTTGTTATTTTGTGTGTGTGTGTGTGTGTGTGTGTGCGGGAACTACTTTTCACGAAGGTAACCCAATGTGGTCAATGGACGTGGTTTTTTCATTTTCCCCTCTGCTTTGTCTAAAGCTGACGTGGTTTTTCGTCTACTAGGTTTATGGTTTACACTGAGGGTACTAATTTCTTTAGATCAGTATCGGGTTTAGATCAACAGAGGACAAGTATCTATTTTAAGTTCTAATCGTATTATTTTCCTTTTTTGTCCATGAGTTCGGGAAAAGTATTCCAATCCCCGTGTATTTATACTGCCTGGATGTTGTGTCTGTTAGTGTAACTAGTATAAGGTTGGGTAAGGTTAGGTTAGATACTGTGGGTTCAAGTGTCTTACGAAATTCCGTTCATACGGTATTATTTATTAATAAACAATATATTATAGGTGCTGTCAAAGTGGTGGTATTTGTACAATGTATATAATATAGGTATAGGTAGGTACAATATGACTCGTAATTTATAATGTTTGTTGGTTTATTGAGAAAAAATATATAATTCGTAAGTATAAATGTTTAACAGGCACTGATAATTGATTCAAGACGTTAAAGTAAAACAACAATAATAATAATAATAATAGTAAAATTAAAATAATTTTGTTATTTATATGAAGTTAAACGTTTGCACAGATAAAGCAAGAATATATCGACGTGCCTTTCCTCATGCATTTCAAAGCTTAATTAGTGTACGAGAGCCAATAACAGACGCTTGTAATCCCCAGAGGTGTCGCCCTAAAACAAAACCTCATTAGCCTATGCACATATCGATTATATTAGCCACGGTTATCGAATAACGAGAAAATTATTCGATTACGTGTACAAAAAAAAAAAAAAAAAATAAATAAATAAATAAAATTTAGACCGTTGCAGAAAAAATTGTTAATGATTACATTATAATATTACAATGGTTTACGCGGTGTTATATGCTATGTAAGTGATGATGGTATTATAGAGACTGTCCAGTCTCTTTTTACTGATTACTTAATTAAGTACCAAATAATATATTAATATGATTTTTCAATTGTAGTATTTCTATAGCAAATGATTCTAATTCAAATTGTTTTAAAATTAATGGAATACTCTTTGCTGAAAAATGTGTACAAATGCGACTTTACACAGTGTTGTCTATTAGATTAATGAATTTAACGAGTTTTATAATACTGTGAAATTACCTATACATAAATTAATGTTGAAAATAATATTTATTTACACATTATACAATCTTTCATACAATTGTGTAGGTATACAACTTTCCACTTTTAATATATCAAGCCGAGAAGATATTCAATAAATTTTAAATTATGAATTTTTGTATAATCGTGCAAGAAAACAAATTAATAATTTTAAAATATAATGTACGAGTATTTGTAGATGTATTGATATACATTTAAACTGGATTAATTTATCAAATATCTCGCTTATTATTGCGATGTTGGTTAAACATAAATGTTTAATATAATATTAGAGATAGATGTACAAGTAAAGAATTCGATAAGATAAACACTCGTTAAATAATTCGCACAGAGAACACGTTCATGATCTTGACGTGTCTTGAAAAATAACGGTTTTATTATTTGTAATATTACTGCATCATATTATGTTAACAAATTAATATTGGACGATATGTTGTGTCCGCAGCAAGCAGTGGCAGATTTGAGGGGGCGACGTGGCGACCTTTCTGGACTCTTTTTAATTTTTGTTAATAACGCAACAACAGCTAGATCATTAGTTTAGTTTTTTTTAAATTGTTACTTGAATTATACATATAAATAGGTGCCCAAGACACTTGGGAGAGCGAGAGTCCAGTGGTGTGCATTAGAACCGAATGCATGTGTATATTCATATCAAACACATTTTGAAATCCTCCCGAAGAAGTATGTTTTTAATAGGTACCTACGACACCAGTTCGCCCTCTCTTTCAATGAGCTTCAGATCCGCCACTGGCAGAAAGTTTGAATATTTCGTTATGGTGGTGCGGAGTAGAAAGAATCGAACGAGGGATTTTTTTTTTATCATAAAAGAAAAGTAAGTACTTATATGTTGTACATAGCTCCTATGTACAATATAATAATAGACAACTACTGAGTTCGGAGTTGTACCCCTGTCAAATATACTTTTGTCCGTGTGACGATTGTAAATTGTATTATTTGCCGCGCGTTTTATATTACGTACAGCTGTATAGATAAACTGTAACTTACGGCTATCCGGTCGGCCAACGGAGTCTCGTATATTTTCTGGTACGCTTCTTTGATGTCACCCAAATCAATTTCCGATCTGCCCACGATGATTCTGATCAACTGACGATCGTTGGTGCCCAGGCCCGCCATGGACGATTCCAACTGTTCGGCGTAGTAGTCGCTCTTCTTCTTGGCGCTTTTCACTGCAACCGTTTATGATTGTAATAAATTTTCCGAAATTCCCGCGGGATCCGACGAAAACCGCAGGAGAAAATGCCAATGTACTCACCGATGGTCAAGAAACCGTGTTCTAAAGCGCCAGAAGTCTCATTCTTGATGGTCTCCACGATGTCCTTACCGGCAAGATTCTCGTACTCTTCGAAAATGGCTCTTAGCTGCGGATAGGAACGAGTGGCCAAAATAGAATTGAAAGTAGATTCGTCCGTGCCCCATTGCGCTTCGCCTGTAAAACCGCCAAATAATTGTGATATGATAATCCACGGGTCCGGTGGTACCCGTAGATAAGGTAAAAAAATAAAATTGCCGACATACCCGCGTCGATCAAAGCTTGTGCGTCCGCGACGGCAGCGCTACGATCCACTTCCACATCTTCCTCACGGTTGGCCTAAAATTACAATCATTTTTTTTATACGTTATAACATAACGTAAAAACCGTAAAAATGTGTTATGTTTTCGAATATGATATGTAAACACGTGTTACACTTTCAGCTGGGACCAGGGTACACGTATACCCCGAACACAATTTTTTCTAGAGTTAAAATATATTGTATTTCGTCTAACTAATATACTAACGTAACGAAGAACATTTATTATGGCTTATCATAATATTTACGTCTATCCATAAAACGATAGGTATACTCACGCAGCACAATGACACCAACAATCTTGCGAAGGATCCCGAAGTATCGGATTTCAAGTCGTCTTCCAACGAGTTTCCGTACACTGCAGCACACATATAAAACGAAACGGATAAAATATTCAGCGTTTTTGATTTGGTATAATATAATTACGAGAACATATAATTTACCCATTCTGGTATACTATACCTACGGTTCCTAGGAAAAAGTACTCGGGTCAATTATCGTCAATTTTTCCGTAATTTTATAACAATCGTATCGTTATTTTTTCACCATATCACACCCCCTCCTTTCCCCCATTTTTTTTTTTTTTTTTTTTTTATGAAATTAACTCAAGCACTTCTTACTTCTGTCTTGTGACCGAAGATATAATTTACATGTAACGTTAGTATAATTACGTTTTTCGTAGACGGAGGAAATGGTCCGGACACCGTAGTTGCTGAGAGTACCCAAGATCTCTGCAATGGCTTCCTCGTCGGTTCCCAAACCGCTGATGGCGTCGTGCAACTCCTTGGCGTAAAACTCCGGAAGCGGTGTCATCAGAGCGACAATGGCGTTCTCGAAATTACCGCCGAGCTCGCTTTTGAGATCGTCGATTAAATCCTGGACGAAACACCCGAACGAATAATAAATTACATTTGATTTTACGCACGCGCAGGGCTGATTCAAATTTCGCGTAGCGGTTTTGTCGGTATTTGGGCACGGGTATTCTTTTACTCGCTCCCCGCTCTCGGAACCGTATAACCTGACGCGTCATTCGGAAGACGCCGTACGGTAATTATTATTTCAAATATGTAAACGTGTAAACGAACGCAATAATGTACGCGAATACAAATTGTAATAATTACATTGTTACCTTGACACGTTTATAATAATAACGATGTTGCGTACGAGGTCGGGCGATCCCGAACAGTCGGCCGTGCGAAGTAAACCGGAGACAATAGATAACACACCGTTAGCCGATGATAATATTATATTTCGACGGCGTTTGTCCTTTTGGATAAACAATGGCTGTTTTTTTTTATTTTACCATCGCGCGGATTAAAATTTATAACGCCTCGGCTGTTCGACATAACGATCACAATGTATTTCCGAACACATTCCGGTGTATTATCTCCAGAACGGATATTTCAAAGACAAAACGTGTATATGAATACTGTTATCTATAGATATATTTTAATAGACAATCGTAAAATATATTATCGGTTTGAAAAAAAAATTAATTTAGCATTTATAATCTACGTATCGTGTGCAGCGGCGTGCGCGGGGGCATTAGAAGTTATATCCCCCCCCCTTTTAATTAAAAATACAATAACTATGTGTGTTTACTAAGTGATATTGTGTTTCAACCAAATTTCAAGAAAAAAAGCTTGACGCATCGATAAAAATGTTTGGATCCGGATACAAATTAATGTTCATTGTCGGGCGGAACGAAAGAAGACCTTGATGCGATTCATTCGTGAATTACGATTATCGTCCACTACATCCGCCGTCCTGTTGAAAATTCCTGAACGCGCCGTTAATTACATTGGTTGCGCAGTAAAGATTTTTATTTGTAAATTATAGTTATTTGTAGGTTTACGGGGAGATGAAACTATGAAGAGAAAAAAAAAACAAAAACAACAACAGTTTGCATAACGCAACAACTAAAATTCTTCAAGTCTTTAGTAATCATCAATAATAGGTATTGCTATCGCGTTTAGTGAATCATTCCGTTTGTGCCGCCACTGATGAAATCGACCGTAGGCAATGTTAATAAAAAATTTAACGTTGACGTATCAACCAACAGAACAATATCGCGAGTTTATATTTCCGTTTGATTTTTAAAACAAACTCGTACCTACACAGTATAATATAAAATGGCCTTGGTATCACCGAACAAACACAATGTGTTTGCGGTGTCTAAAGTGCCGCCGCGTATATTCAAAAAAAAAAAAAATAAAAAAAAAAATATACATATGAAACAATAATATACGGTGTCGCGCGGCCGGCAGAATGTCACGTAATACGTAATTATCGAAATGTCAACAAAAACTGTAACACGTGAAAACCGGCAAAACTCAATTATTGATAGGACGCGTGCGGATAATACGGATACGTCGGGCGTATTAAAATTAACGACAGATCGGCGCGCGCGCCTAACGCGTTCGAAAGATAGAAAACCGACCGGGATTATTGCGAGCCCGTACGTCATAATATCGGTCGCACTGGAAAAGGGAGTTTCCGTCCGCCGACGATGCCCGCTATTATATTTTTATATTTTCGAAACCGGCGGCGGCGGCGGCGGTAGAAAATAATATCATTATTGAGAAAAAAACACCCGTCGGTTTTAACTAACATCAGAAATGTATTGTACGCGGTGAAACGCCTGCCTGCAGCGGACGGTCGCGGACCCATCGTTGGTTGTCCGTTGTGGAAAGGTTTCGGGGCTTTTACAGTCGTGTTCATTCGGCCACTTTTGTTCTCCCAGTTTTAAAAATTCGTCCCCGCGAGTTTACGAACAGATTACACTGCAGTCACTACGCCGCACCGCAGTCGTCTTTGCACCGGATAATTTCCATTTTTTCGCGTTATGAACGACGGTGATGTACGGGCGTTTTATCAAGGCCGGTGTCACTTTGCGCCGTACGCGCCCGTAACGCGTCTAAATGCGAGTTCGTGGAAAAAGTTGTTTCGAGAAGTATCCGACAGAGCGCGACTGGGCACACGCGCGGTTTCAAAACAATAATAGACGTTGGGACGTAATGCATGGAGGAGGCCTACAGAAAGCAGAAATATTCGAACAAAAATATATCAAACGGCGCGAGAGTACGAGCGGGCAATCGTACGCGTCTGGTTACGGACGTTTCTGGTTTACGGGCCCGACAGTTTTTATAACGATACGTGACGGTAGTGAAGTAGCAGAAAAAAAAAGATAAAAAAAAAAAAAAAAACGAAACGCGTTCTTTCGTCTGGTTTTACGAAACACTGGCGTGGTGCCGCGGTTAGATTGTTATGAATTTCGAGCGGACAAACCGACAAAAACCGTCCCCGGCGACTCCCGCTCCTCACCGCGCCTATCTCGTCGATAGTGTGTACGCGAACGTGCGGCAATAATTTCTATAATGCACCGTGTAGCGTTTCATTATTATTATTATTATTTTGTTTTTTTTTTTTTTTTTCACGTTTTTAAGGTCAACCCGACCGCGAAATATCCGAGACCGTGTAATACTATTGTAATGCCGTGGCAAGAGGGGCAGAGCCGCAGATTCACGCCGCCGATGATCGTAAAACATCGCGGAATATTGGACGCGGACTTTCACCGGTGGGGGGGGGGCGATGAGGGAAGGGCGGGATGAGAGTGGCGTAACGCGCGTTATAAGCCATTGAATATTTCACGTATTATTATTATTATTATTATTATTATTATTATTATTATAGATACTTTTCCGTAGAGCGTCTTGAACGCCTCTTTGATCTCCTGTCGCTGTGTGTTCGACCTCTTGGCCAGCACGTCGATGATCGCCTGTTCGTCCGTACCGAATCCTTTCATGGCGGCCCTGAGTACGGCCGCGTCGGCGTTGGCGTCGAAATCGGCTGCCGGACGGACCGTGGGAATGCACTGATCCGCACAAATAATGGAAACAAACGCAACGTTATTATAGTAGTTTTTTTTTTAACATTAATATATACGGAGTGGTGTTCCGTTTATCGCGAACCGGCGATTTTCCCGGGGGGTTTTTTTTTTTATCGAATTCGATTTCTGTGTGTCCGCGGTCGCGGCCGTGCCATAACTTTAAACACTATTTTCACGCTGTACGCCCTACTTATCACGCCTTAAACGAGTATTCAAACAGGAATCTCTCTTTTTTTACATTTTTTTTTCTTAATACGGATTCGAATAAAGAAAGTTTTGCCAAACATATTGACAGTTCATAACACCGGTATTGGATTTATTGTGCATGAGTTGTAACGGTTTAACGTTTGGACCGCAGGAATATAAAAGAGTTTTATGACTTATATCCATTCCTACTCCTTTGGTTTGAATTTTAAAATCGTACGATTCACAAGTAGCTCAAATCCGACAATACTATATATTAGCGTTATGCATATCGGATTATTTAAAAACGTAATTCCATAAAAATGTACGAAACGTGCGTGTAGGCAATTTACAACGGTGTTGAAATAAAATCTCAACCGATTCCATAATGATTGAAAAAAAAAAAAAAACCCCGGTAATTGAAAAATTCACTTGAAATCCTCCGAGAAAATGGCCGGTTCGTGATAAATGGATCGCCCTGCGGGTTCTACGCGTTTTACTTACTCTAGTTGTGTAGTAAGTCATGACGACGTCGGACAATTGAATTCTAAAGCGAATAAAAAAAAATAATAATAATATGAATATAAAAATTACAATAAAATGAAGTGACGAGTAGTTAACGCGTTGACCGGTCGGCACAGACTGAGTCACCGGGAGAACGAAGGCGCACTACTATTATAAAGCGATCGCCGGCCTGTCGGCGGTAGAATTTAGTGTGAGTCACGGCGGCGATGAGAAAAAAAAAATGTAAAGATTGAATAAAAATAAATAAACGCGATGATATTTTGACGAGGGCAATAATCGCGCAGTCTCCCCACTCCGGAAAACTCGTACACTCGCATAACACACAACACGATCACGGTATAGTCAACGGTGATGTTTATTTTTAATTTTTTTTTTTTTTTTTTATTCTAACTTTTTAGTCTTCCGATATGGCGCGTGAGTTTTTTTCAACGAAGGAGTGCTGTACCGAAATCGCAAATGTATTTTTAATTGATTCAATCGGTGTGCGTACGGACGGCTTGTAGACGCATTGTTGTGATACATTGTGTTTGTTTCGCACGCGTTTTGGGTATTCAGAATACGCTGCGGGCGTACATTGTGCTACACTGTAATGATAACAGCCGCGGTCGCACAATGCCAGTGAAACGCGATAGTCGTGCCGCACTTTCACCGTGTGACCGACACTATCGCACGGACACGTGTTCACGACAGATACTATCATACCTATCGCTTTGATCGCGGTGCGGACCACGCCGTTTACGTTTCACCGCAACCGTCGCGATCGCGGGAAACAATCGCCGAAACGAATTGACGGCCATACTGTTGACCGAATCAAATTTCGTTTGAAATATTATATCCCCCACGTCTAACGGCCAACTCATCGTTTTCGGCCCCACATTTATCGTTTAACAACAACGTAATATTATGTCGACGTTGTACTACAATCGTCAACAACCAGAATCGCGGCGCTCGCACATTTAACGATGGCGACAGCGAGTTATTGAAAAAGCGACGGTCTTAACTATCGCCACGCGACTATCGCGTTTGGCCAATACGACCGCGTGGCCAGCGGCTTTACCCGTACGATAGCAGTTTAATTTAAACGGCGAATGACTCGGGGTCGTAACGCGAAACCCTCGTAACTCCGGTGGAATCGAACGATCAGTTGCCAACTGTAATGTAACGGCAATTGTCCCCCATATCCGCGTACCGTGTAAACATCGCCGCAGCGAAAACCGACTGTCGATCGTGCGCGAACAAAACGAATTCCTATACTTGTACTGTTTTAAGAGGACGCTGCCACGGCCGCACGCGCCGTCTCGGTCTAACTGACGGGCGTTGTAGCAAAATCCGCGTCGCGCAGACTGCGCAAAACTCCGCTCAATTATCCGGTTTTATAGGGCAATTCGAACGGGACGATATTCCGGAGGGCGGTACGACGCGTTTTTCCCATTAATCGAATTATTATTCCGAACACATTCGTTCGATACGCCGTTTTCAGAAACAAAAACTAATTTAGTCGTGTTTATGCACAACTGTCACATTTCAAAAAATAAATTTAAAAAGAGAAACGCGCCGTTTCGCTATCCGAAATATTGTCCCGTTTTATAATTTTATAACGGGCGTTTTACACTTTAAAACCAAAATTGAGCGAGTTCTATGTAATCTACGCAAGGTCGATTTTGCTATATTGCCCGTTAGTTGGACTGTGCACATTTTGGTATAGCGTCCCCTTAATTGTCTGTCACGACGAAAAGGTCGTCGTATATCGATTTTTATGAAATATTTATTTACACTAAAAAAAAAAAAAAAAAAAAAAACTAAATAGTTGGAAAAACTGACGACCTTTTTTCGTTGCGGCAGACAATAATATCGTCTAAAGTAAAATTACTTAACACAAGTATAGGTAGAGACTTGATTTTAGCAAATTTTTTCGAATATTCATAGTCACATTCGTACAGTTTCTAAGTTATAAGGTAAAATAGAGTTCATCAACTAATAATAAATAAATAACATACACATTTTTTTTTTTTGGAATTTAGATTCGACTATAAAGTTCTGAGTTAATATTGACATCTGGATAACTGTACGAGCATAAATAATATAAATGAGATAATTAATAAACAAAATATAAAATAATCCAATGAACCGTTACTATTAATAATGAAATTAAATTCTTAATCCAAATATTAAAATATAGTTTTTATCTCGATTTAATATTATAGTCGTTATTTAAGTTGGTCGACTTCATACACAGATCATAATTAAAATTATTGACAAATTTGTAAATATTCAAACAGATTATACAATTAATTCATTAATTAGGATTAAAATATACACGAATACTTTACAGTTATCATATTTTGTTTTCTCTGCGCAAGAAAAATTACGGTAACGTAGACAATGCCCAGAAATTATGAAAATACCGGTTAAAAAAAAATTTAGAAAATTCAGCAGTGCACGCGATGCAGACGCATATTCATAATATCAATTGATAAAACGAACGAACGTTAAATTGCATACATTGATTGTTTTGTTTGTCTGCGTTAAGTTTGTAAGAGTTTGGCACTTTGCACGTTTTAATAATAAACATCGATTATATTGATTGTGTTGTCCACTACAGTAACTACGGTACTAACGCGAACACGGTTTATCATAACACTATGCCGATAATATCTAATCGATAACTGACCCCCGGGAGGGGGGAGGGGGCGACGAACGCGTGCAACCCCTCCTCCCCTCCGTTATGTTTTCCTACCTACGCATCAAACATGACCGTTGGGACTTTTAATACGGCACACTGGACTGCTGAAATATCGAATACAGAATTCGACCCGTACCGCGGGATTTCCGAATTCGCGAATTAACGCGGAAAAGAAAATTTGTCCGTGCGATGACTACGGTGAATACGAATGTGTCTAACGCAGGTGAATCGTGAACGTCAAGAAGCTTGAAGGTTGCGCGTCGCGCACATGTGAGGCGATTATTCATTTTTCTAATAGTAGAATAATGTACAACGGTTCGTCCTTGGAGATCCGCCAGTGACACATACTTATAACATGCCCGACGATACTGGCTCTGCTGCGTGAAACATACAATTTATCGCGTAAACCGCATAACGCCATGAAAAATGCGTTTTTTTTTTTTTTTTTTTTGCCAAATTCAAATTTAAAATGTTTGATTGATTGACAACTACATAATAATGAAAACATGTTCGTGTTATTAACAATTTGATCGTACATTTGAATTTATATGGCTTATTTTTATTTGATAACGCTAAACCTTTTTTTTTTTTTTTTTTTTTAATTATTCTTTTCGAATGTTTTATTTAGTTTTCAAATATTATTAATAAACAACAATACCGAACTGCCTGCACTTTAATGAACGCATTTCGCATATCATTTTATCAAGAATTATTATTTTTCTGCAGAAAAGCTTCATAGGCTTGGATGATGTTTGAACTGTGTTATTTAAAACCACTTTACTGCTGATTATATTGAGCGATTGATCTTTAATGAGACACTTATTATCTCAGTAATGATTAACTTTTGTCGGAATTTGTTTGATAATTATTGAAACGAGCAGCTCTGAAATGTCACTGTTATTTTCATCATCCTTATTTTCGGATGTGAAACCACTACCCGTTTACGATTTTCAAATCAAAACCTATACTAAATATCATACATTTCTAAGTTTGAATATGGGTGTAGTAGATGAACCACTATACTTTCCCATTACCCAAACATTGAATGAAACATCTGAACAACGGGTTGACGGAAATTAAAAATGTTAAAACCAAAATGTATTTAAACTAAAACTTCATCTATTTATGAAATTATAATAGATGGTTTTGATTTTAAAACCATAAGTGGGTAGTGATTTCACGCTTCAAAAAGAATGTGACAAAAAATAACAGTAACATTTGAGATCGATTTGTTTCTTAAATGGTAAAAACAAAGAAAACAAAATGTCGAAAAATGTTAATGGTTTTCGGGATAATGAGTGTCTTATCGACGATTAATCACTCTGTACAGATTCACTGATTCCTTAACGCAATCATAATTAAGTTTATTAGAAACGATTAGATACTAAATGTATGTTTTAGCGAGATAGACACAATTAATGAGCTGTACGTACGGTTTCATAAATGTTAATGATATCAGCGCAATGGATTGTTTCAATAATGATTAAGCAATCTTGGGTCAACAATAACTATTATTATAACAATAAGTATTAACTGAAGTATTTTTCATGCAGTTTTACATGTTCATTTCACTCTGCTTTTATACTCAGCAAATTATTAAGTAGATAGGTATTGTGTAATGTTTATGACGCTGTGACCATAATAGCTATATAACTTACACAATATCCCATGTGTTGAAATTTTGAAAAGGCACAAATTTAAAATTATTCTGAAGTATACCCGTACAGAATGGTTTTTGTATGCGATACAATCGATAGTTTTGATATTGATTTTAAATTTTAACGTTCGATAGTATAATATAATGTATTTATTATGGACATCAGTAGGTTTATGATGAAGAGTCTGACGTTAACGTCATAATAAACTATAATATAAATGTATTGATTTATCAAAAAGAGAAAAGCCAAATACATTAATTTTACATTTACATTTAAAAAACAAATTAATTTCAAACAATATTGATGATGATCTATTTAGATTTAGATTAAAAATCGGTTCCACATTATCTAATTTATATGTATTATTATTATTTATTTTTTGAAAAAATATTCAATTGACTACAGTCAACTAACTAATAATACTCGTACCTGCCTAATGCAATAATGACAAATATTATTCTAAAATATATACCTGTTTAAATACTTTAAAATAATTCAATAGGTAAGTATCGAAATATAATAATTAAATGCGTGATTTAAATAACTTGTTTAACTTCTCCAAGCTTGCCTACAAATAAAGTCTTCATTACGTATAAGTATTAAGTGTACGTGATAATCAATACTAATCATAAAATTCATGGTAACCTTAAGCCCTCAAAACTATTTGTGCTATTTGCGTTTACGTCAATAAAATTATTCATAGTTTATCTTTATATGAATAATTATTATCTATGAGCATGACTAATGCACGGTTGTTGACCAAAGCAAAACAATTACCAAATGTTTTACACAATATATTATATTCAAATCACGACTAAGCATAGGGGAATTTCGTTACAAAATTATCTATTATTTTTTTGGCAACATTTATTAATCAAACACCTTCGTATTTGCATAAAATTACATCATATTTCCGCTAGTAAATTGTTCGTTATTATATCCAAATACAGGATGTTTAATCTTCGGTAATAATAGCACACTCGATATTTGTTATGGGATTTTCTTTTTAGAAAATTAGATAAACATTATAAGTTCTAAAATTGTATACAGCGCTTTTTTTCTCGCCTATTTACACAATGGGCAGTCAAAACATTAATTTCAACGACTTTTGATTTTCAAATGATCACCTACGTCAAAAATTGTACAAATAGATAAAGTTGCGGCTGAACTAAATTTTAGTTTTAGGGCCATATAGTGGTTAGTGAAGTTTCGTATGGATTTGATTAAGGTGTTCAGAAACGATAAAAATCGGACGACATATTCTGAATTCCATTTATAAATATGATATAGGGGTTTTTTTTAAGCATGTTCGTGCCATTTTTATGGTTGAATTATGCGTTGGTTTATTTAAATTATTATGATTTTTTTGGGGGATTTTTAAGCGCTGTCATCAAAGACGGTATTTTCGAATAATTCGATTTTTCACAGCATTTAAGGAATATTCGGTGGCCAATTGATGTGTACAATTAAAGTTGTTGTTATCGCCACAATCGACTTGTATTTTTTTTTGTATCGCAATCGAAATTTGAACGAACAGTTTCTGATTCTGAGTTATTCCATTTGAAATACCGAGGACGGTGGTCCGTTCAAAATACATTGTACACGGGTACGATTCGGTTTATTGTCATTAGATACGCGATATAAAATATTTTGTTATTAGTAGTAGTCATGTATGCCCGAGACAATGTTTTCGTTTGACAGGACTCTTATGAACGAATGTCACCGAATGCGCACCCGTTTACAATGCATATAATACAACAGAATATTATCCGTGTAGTGTTTGAAATAGAATTACTCGGAAACTTTTCGTTAAAATTTCGATTACAATGCGTCAACATTTCCGGATAAACTGTCCGTTTCGTGATTTGCGTTAAAACGCGCAGGTTGTCGTTTCGAAAAAATCCACGCCGGAGGATTGAACTCCTGAAATGTCGTGAAAAACCCACGCTTGAAAATGTCGCGAAATTCGGGGTTCGCGCGTGATTTAGCCGCGAAAACGGGACGGGCCCGTTTAAAGAATAGAAAAAAAAAAAACCGCCGCCGATTTGAACATTGCGAAAAATTGCGATCGATCGCGATTGGCGTCTGCGTCTATTGCCGCGCGCCAGAAATGTGGCAACGGTCGACGCGGTTCCGGCGTGCTTTTGCCGCGTCCAAGGCCGTGAACGCGGAATGGAACAGCCGTACGGTATTTTCGTTTTACGCGCGCGCGACGAACGAATAATCTCCCGTGCGGACCATCGGAACGGCCGTTCGCACAATCGCACGTTCGATTGCGACGACCGGTAACCGTGGCGGAAATCCCGGGACCGCGGGCCCACCGGTGCCCGCCCGTACCGTAACGCACTGTCGGCAAACCCGGTAATTGTTCGCGGTCAGCGCGAACTGTAACGCGCTGCCGGCGGGTAACGTTCAAATTGTATAAATCGCAATGTACGACGGGCAACGGATGCGGTTTACCGCGGCCGTCGCCGCGAGGAATGCGCGCCGAGAACGGCGAATAATGATAATATTGTGCACACTTACTCGCAGGAATAACGCTGAAAAGAATGCGGCCACTCCGTGAAACGCGCCGGGAACGATCGTACGCCCGCAACGGTGCCAGACAGACTGCACGCCGGCCGTTCCGTCGGCGCCCGTTCGCGCGCGATCGATATTTTCGTTTCGGCGCGCCCGATGACGGGCCCGCTCCGTAGGATAAATGCGCGCTGCGCGTCGTCGTGTACAGCGCGATCGAAATGCGAAATCTTTACACTGCGTTGCAATTATTGACGTTGACCTCGAATTTTCGTTAGTTTTTCAAGACGTTTTGGCGTTCGAGAATTTTTGTTTGGTTTTTTTCTACCATTTTTCAAACGTTCCGCACATAAAATGCAAGAGTACGCGGCGAGCGACGAAAAGAAACGCGACAGTAATATGACGGGAGAAGCAGCGACCCGTTAGCGGTTTTAGAGATTCGACAAACAAGAAAGGTAAACATTAATAACGGAAAATAAAATCATTTTCTCGCCCACGATATCACGACAACATCGAAATCGAATAAAATTATACGGAATCCACACACACTCTTGTTCTAAACTTGTTCTATACTATAGATCATAAACGATAACACGTGTACATTTTAAACGCGGTCTACACATTCGGCGAATTACGGAGTGAATTAGCATTGTCAATTGTTGTTTAACGTTTTGTCGATTTCAAAACGCGGTTTTATTTGTTTTCATTATTTTCAGATTCGCTAGAAAATTATTTTATAGTAAAAAATTTCACCGTGGATTTTATTCGTAGTGTACGACACACGAACGAACATTTATGAGGCATTTTTCGATATTAATGTGCCCGAAAGCCGAATACGGTGAAAACTGTTTTCCACCTCCTTTGAAATCGGTGGGAGGAGGGAGGGAAATGGAAAATGTTATTATCGATTATTGTATTGTCACCGTATATATTAGTGCGTGAGAAATTACAAGTTAATTGGACCACGGGAAATGTGTCGAAAATCGGTTACAAATGTTGAGCTTCTTTTTCTTCGCGAGCAGGTTAATGTAATGCATTGTAAAAAAAAAAAAAAAAAAACCAAAAATGATAATTCTGGTCAGATCCATAGTAACGCAATATAAGATTCACAGTTATGATTAATTTATACAGTTTGTTATCATGATAAACATAGTTAATTGTTTTGAAATTGTATTGTAGTTGAACAGTCGGAGTTTCTTTGATTTACTAACCCACGCAAGGCGTATGTATAAGAATACTTATTAGCCCGGGTACGTTGAAGTAATAATTTAAACAGGTTTAAACCTTGGCAAATTTCTCAGAACATTAAAAAAATCAAATGCAATAAATTATGCTCGTAGGTTAATAAATTAAATTAAATCCGGGTATAGCTGCCCGGCATATTTTCATTTTATTCTCATAGCAATTGTGTTGAAGGATTTTACATTCTGAGCGTATTACTATTTGCTGTGTGCAGGGCCGTCCGGACAATTCGCGGGGCTTGGAGCAGTGTAAAATTGTGGGGGTCTAAGATGATCGTTCGGTGCCCTTAATTCAAAATTTTATTTTTCTGTGCTATAAAAATAATCCAATGCTCAGAAATGACTATAGGTAGGTGTATATAAAAAAAAAGACCGCAAATTTCGCACGTGGGTAGTTGTGAAGTTGGGGAGATAGAGGAAGAATTTAATATATATCTGTATTCGATTATTAATCATTGCTAACAAAAAACGATTCTGAGAGGAGTTCGGTTAATAGTGTTACTTTGTTAACAATTTATGTGTCATATTATGGTAAAATAATTACATAGGCATTAAATATTTTCTTTAAAAATATTTGTTTAACATTTTACTTATTTTCCCGTTATTCCTGCGTTTTTTTTTTCACGTTTTTCCATTCATTATGAAAACAGCTAGAAAAATCAAAAAAATTACCTCCTTAAAAGAACCACCCCAGGCAGATTTGCTTTGAGAAAAAGTGCTATTATTGTAAATCGGAGCAAATTCGCTAGTAGAAAAGTTGTTGAAAAAGGCCGTAATATTGTTTTACTAATACCTATATTTCGTACATTTTCCCGTTTTTTCGACGGACTCAAATTTGTTCACAAGAATTAAATTCAGTCAACAGTCGTTCATTATCGAACATTATCAAATTTACTTTTTTTATTATGTCTACAAAAGTGCGGCGGCGTGGGGCCTGTCGACCGTAGTGAAAGGGGCGGGGCTCGTGGCTCCGGTCCCGCTCACCCTGCCCTAGCGATGGTCTAGGTTGTGTGCTGATTGTTATTATTATCGATTTTTTTCTCGTCTTCTACCAGAAATTTATTCTGAGAGAAAACTTTCTCTAAATGATGATTAAGATGTAAAAAAAAGTAATTTGGTGATTTTTCAAGCAGTTTTCATAATGCTCGGAAAATCCGGAAAAAACGTAGGAAAAACAGGAAAGTATACGGCATTAACGGGGTACCGTGGTTAGTGGTAAAAATTTAGACGTTATGTAGTAGTTTTTGTTTTTAAATAAACGTTTCAAAATCAAATTATGGAATAAAATGAACGACTAGAAAGTTTCTAAACGTGGATGCGCTTTGGTTGCCTATACATAACTCCGTTAAAACGTTTAATTGTCTTGATCGTTCATTTACGTCACGTAAATTCACCGTCAACGGTGTTTAAATGAAATGAAAAGTTATATTTTGTAACATTAGGCTATTACGAGAGGTGAAAAATATTGCTGTGGAGAATTTCGGGACGTAGTGCGTGCAGCGAACCGAGCGCAATTGAGAAATCAACGAGCTCTCCCGGTAATTTCGTAATGACCAGACACGTTAAATACTGAAATTTTAAGAAACGAGCGACGAATGCGTTTCTAATGAATAACATTCCTGTTTCGACGTTAAAACGATTGAATTACTGTCGTTTTGTTTTACTTCTATATTGTAGTCGGTTCATCGGGCGCGCGACTCCTTCGATAATGTCGGTATTTAAATAATTACTAGCTGTCCCGCGCCCGGCGTTGCCCGTGCCAATTTGGTATTATTATTATTTACACATATTCACTTTTGGCTGCGGCCGTGTTAGAATTGAATGAAAACGAATTGGTGGAAAGTGGACGGGCCACTTTAAGGCGGACTAAATGTGTTCTATTGTAACATTCGAATGGCGCAGATAATAGTAATAACAATCGTAATAATTAAAATAGTTTTCTTTTCCGCGGCAACCCTTGAAAAAACAAAAATCTTATACAAATAAAACAAAGTCGGGTTAGTTACACCATTTACAACTCGAGAACGGTTGGACCGATTTTGATGATCACGCGGTATTTTCCGACCAATTTCTAATAATAATTAATCGGCGTTTTTTTTTTTTTTTTCATTCATGTTACACAAAAAAAAAAAATTGTATTTATTACATTATAATGCTAAATTATTCGGTGTTGCCCGTTTATGTATAAATGTATATTACTAAAATCGCGATTGAAAAAACAGCGGGCGGGGGTAGGAGAGTGAAATACCCGAACGAATACTTTTACGACCTATTCTCACAGACTTACCGGACACGCGCGAAAAATGTCACGGAAATCGGTCAAGCCGTTTCGGAGGAATCCGATAACGGACACCACTGTGACCGGAGAATTGTACGCATAAGACATGCCACGTGCGTACCATTGTAATCCATTAAAAAACCTAATTTGAATTAGGGGCGGCCGAAATGTGAATTTTCCGTGACGATTGTTCGCACGCGAGACAATATTTTAATGCACGTCGTATCTACTGTGGCCCGCCCCATCGGGTGTACACAAAACAACAACATTATGTTTCCTTCGAAATGACAGTGTAACAAATACGTACAGTATATCGTTAGCGGTTTGTGCATTAACGCGCGGACACGGAATGCGACTCGTAAAAAGGCTTTAACGCAATAAACATATAGACGGCCGGCAGCGTGGATGAGAAAAAAACCTAACCTACCCGGTGTAGGAGGAGGCCACTGTTGACGGTGGGAAATAGAGAAGCCACGTATAATAATAGTAAATAATATAAACAGTAAAATAATACACACGCACAATACGCAATAATGTAATTTACTTTACAGTGTACATAACATGTAAACCATTATTATATGGCCAGAGAACAGCGGTTCTGAACGAACGCCGGTCGATTGTGTTTTGATCATTTGACCAACGTTAATTGGAAACGCGAGAAATATCAAAATACGATCTCCCAATTGCGCCGGTTAGAGAAAATTTGCTTTTAGAAAACGTGTCCCGATCGTTTAGCCGGATTCTGCAGCAGATTTACGACGGAGAGAGTTGTTTACGTGACGGGAGAAAAAAAAACCTAATAATAATAACAATAACGCCAACTATCCAAATATCGCCAATGATAACAACGAGTGTACAACGTAACATCGGTGAATAAAATCCCATCGGGGCCTACCCGCTAAAGCCTGCGGACGTCATTTGATCTGTCCCCCGGACTTCGGGGATCGGTTATTACGTACAACCGACGGCGCTCCGCGAGCAATGCGACTTGCGAGGTCGCGGCATCGTATTTTTTTCCGCGGGCATACGCGGTTGGGCGCGCGCGCAAACCGGGGATTTTTTTATACGCCTGGAATCTTAAAACGCTGGACGGTACAAGAACATGTCGGTTTTTGAAAAAAACAAATCGGGCGTTTATTTTCGTGAAAAAAAAAAAAAAAAAGGTGCGAACATTTATACAAAGTCTAGGTTTGAAATTTCAAATACCAGGTTTGTACAGTCCGGGGTGATCAATCATAATCGTAAGACATTCATTATCTCGGAAAGCAAACTTTTTTTTTGGAATTTATTTTACATTTATGTTACGTTATGTCGCCTTTATTTTTGTGGTAAACCATTACTACCTTTTTTTTTTTTTTTTTTTTCAAACGGCAACCTATAGTAAAAATTCCATAAATAGATATGATTTTCAAGAAGGCCATATTGTTACGCATCGTTTTTATGTAGTGATATGTATAAAAAAAAAAAAAAAAAACAAACCGGTATACATCAAAATGTATAGCAATTTGGATGTTCATTCAATGAGAATATTCCGATTATGATCATATAACTAGTGGTTTTTATCAATATAACTGATTACATATATTACCTACATAATTTTGAAATTATTAATAATAATATTAATTCATTGATATTTTAATTTTAATTTACATAGTTTAATTATTTCATCGCTGCTAAAGAGCGGTTCCATGTTCAAACAATGAATTAGCAATTAACAAAGAACCTTTTAATGTTAAAACTAATTTCTATATTAAACCTAATACTAATATTTACAATATGATGCGTACTAATACATGCAACCTAAATTTAAATATACATAATAATAATACAGTTTCCCGTCACATTATAAATGATACGCACGGACCGATTTATTTTTAAAAAAACTGTGGAGGCATATTAAAAAAATAAGTTTTATAAATGTTTTTAAAGACAATTTAAAACTAATTAAAAGTATAAAATAAAAAAAATGGTTTAATAAATCCGTTAAACATCATACATTATTTTTAAAAAAAATATTGAAGATAGGTACATAAAAAAAGTAATTTTTAAAAAGATTTTAAGTATAAGTACAATAATAAAAAGTTAAAAAAAAAAAAATCATCGTTTGCATCTGTAGTATATTGCTAAAAATATTCATGGGTAAATGCCTTCTTGATGCGGTTAGATCTTAGGTGTCAATGATATACCCTTAACATACACCTAACCTAACGTAACCTACCAAACACCTATACTTCCAACCTTTCTTTCTATTTTAAATATACTCATAAAATAAAATGTATTAGACATGACCATTAAAACCAAAATTATCAAAATAAACTCTAAAAATGTTGAGTTTCAAAATAAAACAATTTTATTTACAAATGTTGTATTTTGTTACTCGCATATGACAAAATTAACCATACCAAAATATTAGGCGAATGCATGAAATAATTCCTCGTTTTACATACAACATTTCAGATTATCTAATAATCAATTAGTAAAATATAAAATATTTATCTAATACCAAATAATTATAAATTTATAAAAAGTTCTTTATCAAATAAAAAATAACAAAAACATTATTTATCAAATAAATATAATGATAGTACATATTTTAATAGCTATTATTATCTAAAGTATTGTCCATAAACTTTTTTTTTCTACCCTTGATTCTGGTTACTTATTGACATTTTTAAACATAAGATCCACTACATGTTTAACAGTTAACATAGAACGTAGCTTAGTGCACGTATTGTTCATTAAACTGAACCCCTGGTCGCACTCTGTTGTAAATAGTGAATAGTGCTCGCGCTCTGCTGACTGCAAGTAATAAACTCGGTTTGCTTATAAAATATTACTGAAAAATGAAAAACAACATTAATTATACATTATTACAGGTTTATCACTTTTACCAACGAAGAACTTAAAAAAATTAGTATGGGCTGTATAGTCTAAAAAATAAGAATGGTTACTAACTGCCAGTAACTGGTTAGTGATTGCCGATTAAATGATTATAGACTATAGCTTTTCCAAATAATTTAAAAAATCATTGTTATTAATAAACGATTTAGATTTGAGGTACGGAGAACATACATATATATTATATTCTTAAACCTGCATATCCACAAGGGCACACATTCATATGAATGCACACGATTATACATGTATATATAATTTTACATATTCTAAATTATTTACAAACATAACAGGTTAAAATAAGATATTATATTTATATCGGCATTTGATACTGGTGTTTAGTTTTCAAAATTTTTTTTTGATAATCGGTTAATAATGTAATGCACTATACAGTGAATACTAAATACCGTCCGAGAAATGAAAATTGCGAATAATTGTAGAACGTTTTGTTTTAGCCACCGAAATTCTAATAGGTATACAGGGCTATCGTCGTTTATAAGGAGAGTATACGCTAAAAAAAAAAAACAAAAAAAAAAAAAAACCACAGGAATAATAAGTATACGCAGTATATTGTAAAACCTCAAATACTCTACTGGGTTTTGCTAATAATTTGAATTAAAACAGAAAAAATTTAAAAACAGCGGTTTACAATCCAATTAAAATAAAAAAAAAAAAATAATAATAATCTAAAAATACCGTGGACAATTTTCCTCCTTGAATTTAATCCGCGCGAAACAGAATTTCTTCACAGCGCAGTGGCTACGTGCTGAAAACCAATACGGATTATCAAATTATATTGCTATGACGATGGAGAAAAACAAATGGAAAATAATAATACACGAACATTTTACGATAAAGAACAGTATACGAACGTCGGATGTTTCGACCGTTTTCGATTTCGTTATCAGCAGCAGCAGGACGGCCTCGTCGCCGCCCCCGTACGCTTCGCACGGGACCGACGGGCCACAAGAATCCCGGCCGGGATCCTCGGGACCTCCCCGCGGAGGGGGGGAGGGAGGGCGACACGACCAGTACATCTGCTCGGCGAACGGTCGGCCGGTAAAAAAATTCCGTTTTTTTTTCTTCTTGTCGGAAGTCGCAACGTTCCCCGGCACGTCAACAAAACACACCGGCGTCGCGCCGGGCCAATCGTCGTGAGTCGCCGCCGGCGTCCATAACAACGACGACGGGCCGGTGACTGACGTGAAATCAAAAACGAAAAGAGAAAAAAAAAAAAAAAAACAGTTACAACGTTATTCGGTGTTACAAAACGGGTACGATATGTCGCGCGGTTAGGTGCGTTGGTATAACGGGGCCCACGCGGTTACATTCGCCGGCGCCGCGGAACGTTTCGACGGCGATCCCGTCCGGAAGAAACCCACGGCCGGTCGGCAACGCGTTCGACCCGTAGGCCCGAACCGCGCGGCGGCTCTCCGGAAAAACGACAAACGTAACGCGTCAAAGCGTTAGTCCCGTTATCGGGGGGGGGGGGTGGCAGCGAATGCATCGCCGTAGGTACCGGGAGGGTCCGGGAGCGTACCGGCCGTCGGACCGTACGAAAAGCAGGCGCCGTCGAGTCCGATATACCGTTTCCCCGTACGGTCCTCGGGCGGTCGTGTGGTCCGACCCGGAAGAAGAAACGGAAAATACACCAAACGCGTATTTCGTAGCGAACGTTGTACAGCAACAACAACAACAACAACAACACTCGATTCACAAGCATCCGAGTGTAATTTACCCGGGTATCGTACCTACAGAACTTTTCGACGATCGCGGTATACTCCCGGGCCTCTGCACCCACACGCCGCGCATCGATCTCCGCACCGAAATAATAGCGTACCGAAATGATGGGATTGCATTACTAACCGAATGCGGTTTTTTTTTATTTCTCAAATCATAAAGTTCCGGGAAAAATGCGCGGTCTCGGTTGTATTAAATTCCCATAAGAATATTGAATTATCACGAAAACTACGTACTCGACCGCGATAAACCGTATTTGGTACTTATGGTTAAATCACATACCTTTCGTTCTTCGATATTTCCGGACGTCGTCCGACTCCACAGCCACGGGGCACGGAAATAAAATACGACAATTGTCGTTTGAAACGGTCAGTCGCGTTTCGACACGGAGCCAAGACCCCTCCGCCCCCACCGTTATTTCGGTTAATATTAATTGTCGGGAACAAAAAAAAAAAAAACAGTATGCCGTATTCTCAAAGAACATACGTATTGTCTTCGAACAGTATTGCCCACGGTTGAAATATATTGTGACGTTTATCTCAACCGTGGTATTACCTACATTTCGTGATAAACGCCACGCGAGTAGAGATATGAATCGTACGTTGCGTAATATTCCTTTGGCAAAACCGCGCATGTCCATATTGGTCATCTGCGGGTAAAACCACGGTTAATGATATTACGCCGGTCAGGTTACTCGGCAACGGGCCATGTCACAGGCGACATCCCATGGCAGACGAAATCGCTCGCAATAACGACCGCTTAACTAACCGAGTGGCGCTCTCTGTCCGCGAAAACAACGTTGTATTACAATGTTTTACATTCGCAAAAACATATTTTATCGCAACCATTGTATTATATTAAATCCTGAATAAAACTGGTAAAATCAAACGGTAACATTGATGTCCCGAAGCCGCCATAGAATATAACACGGTCTTAGAAGAACCTTTTAAGATTCTCGATTCTAAGATAGCGGAATATGATATGCATTATCCACGGCGGCCCTCTACGGAGGAATAGTTTGTACACGTCCGTGCGATAATATAAACCTCGTCTAATCAGATAACGGGTTTCACGTTTGGTGTTCTGACTCGAACGTTTGTTTCTTAATTTCTAATGTTGTTTTAACGACAACGTTTATTAGAGCCGTTCGCACCAACGTAAAAAAAATGCGTCTATCTGATTCCTAGGTAGGCGGGTGTACGTAAATGATTTCTTAAGGTGTTTTTATAAAATTGCTCGGATTTCTACGTGTAGTAACTTTTTTGAAGGAAATCGGCGTGGAAAGGTATTATAGGGAGGTCATTTTTCGATTTTCTCAAGATTTTTCTCATCAAATACGTGAAAAAAAAATAAAACGAAATATGGTAAATATAATTTACGATTTTTTTTCTGTGAACAACTTTTCTACCAGCAGTTTCGCTCCAACATTTAATGATAACAATGTTTTTAATAGGAAGGTACTTTAGAGAGGTCATTTTTTGATTATTCCAAGAGTTTTTCCTAGAACATGTGGAAAACCGGGATAAAACCAGGAAAAACCGAGAAAAACGTAGGAAAATTGAGAAAATCGGTACAACATTAAACAAATTGTATTAATGAAAATATATGAAGCTTATTTTATTATTTTTGTTTACTATAAAATGACATATATGTTGTTGACAAAGCATCACTATCAACTAAATTTCACTCAGAATCGTTTTTTCGTAAGCAATGGTTTATCGTTGCTTACAGATATACATTGAATTCTCGTCTAACTTTCTAACTTTCAACCTACATCAGTGGCTACACCCGTCCCCATTATCATACCTTTCTTTTTTATATTTTTATTAATTATATCGCCACCGCATGTATTGTACGATTGTACTTTAAGTCTCTACAACATTGCAGAAATTTGCTTTGCTTTCAACGTGCGGTAATGAAGATTACAGTTCCTGTTTTTCGGTATTAATAACGTTTTATTATTTTGTTACTTAACTCCAGCGTTGCTGCTGTATCCGCAGTTTGTCGCCTGGAATGTCGTGCGCTTGAGCATAGTTTGCGCTCACTGTCCTCAGTGCTAATTTAGTTGCATCCGTGTTTTCTAAGGAGTATAACAATTACTGACCGTCTTATCTGGTTAAAACTATTTGTACCGGGTGCATATTAATTTGCCTACCTACATGGTTACGGTGTTCTGCTTGCTTACTCACTTATTATTAGTAGTATTACGTTCACTATGGTTACTGTCAATACTGAAATGTTTCTAATAGAGCTCGGAAAATGGACCAAACCTACGCTTATTGATTTTATTTCAAATAAAACTCTTCTTTTGGGTATAAAGGTGAGCAAAAGTCTATTGCTTCATCTCAAATAAAGTAACAATAAAGAACCCGAATCATTGGATAATACAACCAAATTTGCCACTATATTGTAGTCAGTTGTAACTGAGTTGAAGAATATTTCTGAAAGCAATCGGTTGATTAATGTAAAACTGAGTAGTATTACGATCCCTAGTTCATCTGGAACCTCTTCCAGTGTTGCATTTTGTCAAGCAGCAGAACCAGTTTCTGTCGTCTCGGCAGCTTCAGCAATGGATCGTGTAACTGCGTCAGACCGTTCGAAATTGTTGTTGGTTCTGGTGTTAATATCTCTACTGGCTTATTTGCGGCTCCGACACAGAAATTGTCCGATTTGTGGTCACTAAGCAGCCAACGTGCGCGTCGTACCATACGTGGGTACGAGTACCTGGGGCGACGGCGACTGCCCGCGTGTTTTTTGCACGTGTGTCCGGCCGACGGCGACGTCCGCGGCCCCGGCTATGCCGACGTGCATTTTTCGACAGTACAATTATCAAAAATACCACATCGTCCTATAACGGATATTATCGTACCTACGTTTTGAACGGCGATTCCGCGCAATTGTCCGCGGCTCGTCAACAAGCCAGCTGCGCACCCCCGCTATCCGGTCAGTGTACCGCACTGCCACCGGGCCTGGATGCCGGCCGGAAGTCGCCTGTACACACACCGTATTGCGTATAACACCTATTAATCGGCACGCGTGTCTTTCGAGACCGTATCTACGCGCACCGAGACATTTCGTTATTGTTATAGGAACTTGGACGATTTTAAATATGGGCCCCTACAAGAACTCGAAGCGGGGGCTCTGGCGCAATGAACCGCCCGCACCGCGATTCCTACGGCACTGCTGCCAAGGCATTTAGGTAAATTCCTCCTTGTACTGTGAGTTATGACTATCTTATATA